AAATTTATTTATCATTTTATTTATCTTTTATCACACATGCTAACAATGACATATAAGGATAAATATGATTTAAAAAAAAAGATTCTGTAAATGCCTAACAAAACAACAAAAATGCTAAAAACAAATTCAAACATAATACTTCATAAGATTACTAATCATAACAAAGGAGAATTAAGCAAAAAAAATCAGTATTTTCTATAATAATATACAGGCCAAACGTACATGTAAATACTATTCTGGTTCTCTCTAAAATAAAACCCAAAATAATGTCAGTATATGTAATTAATTTTTTCACTTTCATTAGAAAAGTATTCAATACATATATTAAATTTATATTTAAATTTAAATTATATTTTCTTTTCACTAAAATTTGGCTAAAATAGCACAAAAATATGATTTACAATTTATATCTGAGTATAGTACAGTGGAACCTGTCTAATCCAAACTCGTCCGGACCAGAAGCAAAGTTCGGATTAGAAAGGTTTCCGAATTAGAAGGCTTTTTTACATGTTTTTTCCCCAAGTTATTTGCAAAACAGTTTAAGGAAAGAAAACGGGAATGCATTTGAAATTGCAATTTAGATATTTTATTTTTGCAGTCTCTTATCGTTCATTTTAATACATGTGAATTGTAAATAAAGAAATAAAAACAAATAAATAAGCAAAATATTATGTCCTCAAAGGTAATTTAACCTACGATGTTAAACAGGAGGCCGAGACATGATTAGATATTCGTACCAGCATTTGTCAATTATTGTTTACTCTTATATGATTCAGCGACTATCCGAATTCACTGACAGTTTCCATTAATTTTCATTACCTAATCATGTATCCTTGAATCCAATACAAAGGATTACAAGAGCCATGTCAACATGGCCATCCCCCGCCGAATGTGTTTGCTCATTGGAAGAATGCATATGTAGTAGAGCAGAATAATTCCATTTTAAGAGGTCTTTTGGTAATGAAAACTGATGGCTATAATGATTACAGATTTGAAACCTATGTGAATACTGATGGCTGAAAATAACAAAGGGCAATTACTGAAAAATAATGCAGGGTAGGTTATTATTCTTGTGTGCTGCATCCCTCCTTAGTAAAATCTATCCACCTATGAAGTTTCAAGTTGATACCTCAAATACTTTTTGAGAAAAAAATTGAATTGAAAAATTAAGTATGAAAAAGAACAAAGGGCAATAACTCAAAAATTATAAAAGGTAGAGTTATCATTCTTGTGCAGTGCACACCTCCTGAGTGAGATCTATGCACCTATGAAGTTTCATTTTGATATCTCAAAGGCTTTTTGAGTTATGCTCTGGACGAAAATTAATTTTGAAAAATAACAAAGGGCAATAACTCAAAAATAATGCAGGGTATAGTTATCATTCTTAAGCACTGCACTCCTCCTCAATGAGATCCATCCACCTTTGAAGTTTCAAGTTGATACCTCAAATACTTTTTGAGATAAGCTCTGGACAAAATAACATAAAAACAAACAAAGGGCAATAACTCAAAAATTGTATAGGGAAGAGTTATCATTCTTGCACACAACATTCCTCCTCAATAAGATCTATCCACCTATGACATTTCATGTTGATATCTCAAACACTTTTGAGTTATGCTCCACTCAGGTGAAAAATTAGGTATGAAAAATAACAAAGGGCAATAACTCAAAAATTATGAAAGGTAGAGTTATCATTCTTGTGCACTGCACACCTCCTGAGTGAGATCTATGCACCTATGAAGTTTCATGTTAATATCTCATAAGCTTTTGGAGTTATGCTCTGGACAAAAATCAATTTTGAAAAATAACAAAGGGCAATAACTCAAAAATCATGGAAGGTAGAGTTATCATTCTTGTGCATTGCACTCCTCCTCAATGAGGTCTATCCACCTATGAAGTTTCAAGTTGATACCTCAAATACTTTTAGAGATATGCTCCGGACAAAAATGTCGGACGGAAGGACGGACGGAAGGACGGAAGGTCGGACGGACGGAGACTATTTCTATATCCTCCGCCGAAATTTTTCGGCGGGGGATAAAAATATATTTCTATTGCATTATATCAAAATATTTATAGAACCTGACGAAAAACAATCATTTAAGCAATTATAAAAGATATCAAGGCAAGCTAAGTGTAATTTTCACACCTTCGCAGATCATACGTTTCACCAATTAGTCAACCGAAATAACACTTATCAGTTTGGTGTATGTTTACACCTGCAAGATGTGCGATTATTTGTTATTTTGAATGAAGGTGTGACATTTGGCAAAACCTGTTCGGATCCGAGAGGTAAATTTTAGAGTAAAAGAAGAACAAAAATTGAAAAAAATCGTTCTGAATTCGGAGTCGACAGGTTCCGGATCCGAAAGATTTTTTACTATTGAAAATAGAACGAATAAAATCGGGACCGGACACTTCGTTCGGATAAGAAAGGATTCCGGATTAGAAGGGTTCGGATTAGCAAGGCTCCACTGTAGCATATTATGAAACTTGCTGGAGGTGGGTATAACAGAAGATTTGTTTAAGTGAAATATAGAAATATATCTCACTAAGAAATTAGAAGTTTTTCATATTTTCAAAAGCGTGTAGCATGATACAGGTTGTATCTATCTGGCATAATTTAGTATCTTATTGAATAGCAAAAGATAAAATATGCAAAGGTAAACATCAGCACATGACCTAAAATTAAGTGTAAATTTTTATATAATTGTTAATCTCATTACAGTCTCAATTATTGTTCACAATTAAATTATCATTACAATTAAATTATCATTCACAATTAAATTATCATTCACAATTAAATTATCATTCACAATTTAATTATTGTTCACAATTATTTAAATTATCATTACAATTACATTATTGTTCACAATTTATTTATTGCCTACAATTAAATCAATATACACAATTAACCTATCATTCGCAATTAATTCATTGTTCACAATTTATTGTTAACATTTAATTGTTGCTCACAATTAATTTATTGGTCACAATGAGAAAACATTGATTAAACTACAGATGAGGTAGAAAGTTTACTTCCTAAAAATATAATGCAAATATGATAACAAAGTAAGCCATTAGAAAAAAGCAAATATAAAAGTTTGACAGATACAGGCATAGCATCACAATCTTTCATTAACGTTATTATACTTGTTTCAAAAATAATTTGTTCCAATATAATTCAAAGCTTACTACAAATGTCATATTATCCAGAGTAGATCTAACTACAAATGTATGTGCAAAAAAAGACTAATTTTTAAGTTGTTATAAAAAAGATTAAGAGTTTAAAATAATAAATAAATTTATAGATAAGATAAGATAAGAAATTGGTTTATTATAGTCACATTGTACATTTACAAGTTATTTTCAACAATTTATACATACAATTTATAGGTACCCGGCCCAGTGGGCCTATAAGTGACTTTAACATTAATTCAAAATATATAAGACATTGGTTAATTGATACATATATATAACGAGAAAGAAAAGTGGAATAATGTACACTACATTTTGCAACAACAAATTAGGGGATTAATGTATACAGCTCAATCAGTAAGTTATGAGTGGCAGCTCGCAACATGATAATGATTTACCAATACATTTAAAAATGTCTCAAGAATAAAGAATATCTCTTCTGCGGAGGTATGCTTGTAGAATAAATTTTGAACATTTTCTAATTTATAATAAATTAAGACAAATTGCAAATTTTATGACAATATAATTTGTATATTTTTTTTTATATGTGTATAACAAACAATCAAAGATGTTAATATGTAAATTATGATATCATTTTGCAGATGTCACTTAAAGCTGCACAAGAACCCAAATGAGAGACAAAGCTCTTTCCAAACTACATGCATGCACACACACTACATATGGATGACATGTAGCAATAGCTTTAACATAATACCCCACCCCCACTCATAACATTTTCTCAGTATTTCCAATTAAACCATCTTTGCCTCTAATCTTAAAGTGACATTATGCCAATCCAAGGGTATACAGTAAGTGAACAGTTGAAAGTCAAAATAAGTTTATATTTTGCCATAATGCCTTTAAATTTTATAATATACTTCGCATGAACAATAAGTAACTCATTTGACCCAAGATAATTTCTATAAATATCAATCGGAATTTACCAGTAATGTTCAATTGATAAAAAGAGTGGGGCTGTCTTTTTGTATTTCTGGCAGATTTATATTTTATCCATAAACAAGAAACGCGGCAATGCGACGAAAACCAGGTTTTCAATGACCATGTTTTGATGTGACAGCAATCAATGGGTCAAAGTGCACTGAAGTTATTGAGTAGATGCTGAAATTTCTATTGTAAGCAAATTACCTTGACCTTGCTCCCAGATATCTAATTGGCAATCCAAAGCTGCCACTCAGCAAGTTTGGTGTCAAAAGGTCAAAGCAAACTAAAGTTATAACATGAAAACTAAATACATTAACCTTGATCACAGACACCTGGGTAGCAATCCCAAGCTGCCTCTTGATATAAGCTACCCATTCATCAAGTTTGGTGTCAATAGGCTAAAGCAAACTCAAGTTATTGAGCGGGAACTGAATTTCTATTTTTAGTAACAGTGACCTTGATCAGAGACACCTGGGTAGCAATCCCAAGCTGCCTCTTGATATAAGCTATCCATACACCAAGTTTGGTGTCAATAGGCCAAAGCAAACTCAAGTTATTGAGCGGACACTGAATTTCTATTTTTAGTAACAGTGACCTTGATCTAGATCACAGACACCTGGGTAGTGTTCCCAAGCTGCCTCTTGATATAACCTATCCATACACCAAGTTTGGTGTCAATAGGCCAAAGCAAACTCAAGTTATTGAGCTGAAACTGAATTTCTATTTTTAGTAACAGTGACCTTGACCTTGATCACAGACACCTGGGTAGCAATCCCAAGCTGCCTCTTGATATAAGCTACCTACACACCAAGTTTGGTGTCAATAAGCCAAAGCAAACTAAAGTTATTAAAAAGAAACCAAAAGTTGACGCCCGCCCGCCTGCCCGCCGACTTCAGCATTACAATAACCCGGTTTTCGTTGAAAACCTGGTTACAAATTCCAATATCAACTGTTGGGTCAATCACCATTATAACAGTCTAACATGTGAAATATGTTGTCAATTGGGCTGAACTTGACAATGAAAAACAATGAGCATAATTTCGCTTTAATATGATGTTCAAACACACTGTGAAATCTTTCAGACAGTCGAGAAGTCATGTATCACACAAGCATGAGATTCACCATGTTTTTTTCACACTGATTTATTCCTTCTGTCATCTGTTTCCAAGGTAACCACAATAAATGATGACATTACATCAAGACCCTGCCTCTTGTTCCAAGCACTTAAATATTGTGTTCATCTGGATGTTTGAAGTTCCCTCATAAATTGCACCTGTGTTGTGATAATAATTAAGATATAAGTTACCATAGCAACAAGAAATAAACATCATTTACGGGCAATTTCATTGGTCCTCCCTGGAGGTATATTGAGACTTTCAGAGCTGTAAATGCTCAAATTAATAAACCACTTATATTTAAATATTAAACGGTCAAAATTAATTCTAATTAACCAATTAATATATCAGGGAGTGGAATTCATGATCTGTAATAATTTAATGGTGATTATGCATTTTCAAACATATGTTACATTTTATATGAGAAGTCTGTCCCACAGTGTAATCTAAACTTTCAGTTCAAAAATTCAATCCAATTTATCTTTTCAATCTAACTTTCTTCAATATTAATTTATTCTTCTAATTTCAAATCACCTTATGTTCAAAGCGGGAAAAATAATTCAAATTAAGACACTTAATATTCAAATTTTTTCATCTACATGGCAGCAATAAAATTTTAAAATATAGTTAAGAAATATGATAAATAAATAATTGGATAAAATAATGATCAATTATCAGAAACTGGGATCAAAGAACATTCAAAATGCATCGGCTTTTTTTTTCCATTTTTTTTTTAAATTTTCCATCATCGTTATCAAGCTTTTTAGCTTCTCATCAAAACTAACGGCATGTAGTAATGTAATTAAGACCTTTTCAAATATGAATTTTGATCCTGAACATGGAAGCTCTAGCAGGAATTTATATTTTTATTATGTAAAATAAAATTCAAGATATAACTACACACTCTGATTTCTAATTTCTCTGTCATTATGGAGAAAAAAAATTAAAGAACAAGTGGGACTTAAACTGCCACTGTCATGGCATGAATACCTCCGCATACCACTTTGTCAGAATCAACAGTAGTCATTTAGAGCTAAAGGACAACCTCCCTACCAAATCTGAGGGTAGTAAGCCAGTGCATGGCTAAGTTATGTATTTTACATAACATGTTTTTAGTGGCAAAGATCAAAGTGACCCCCCACCCCCCAAATTCATGCAGCCTTGTCTGGGGGATGTGTTATGGTGAATATATGAGAACATAATTATATGGTTTTTTTTAGCCTTCTGACCTCGACTTCTACTAGTCAAAACCAACCTAAATACCAAATATGAAGACTGTTGACCAAAACTTTTTTACGCAATTGAGGGAACAAGCTTTTTGAACTTAAATGGCCCCTGTGATATTGACCTTTGACCAGGTGACCTCATAATGAATATGGGTCACCAATCTCCATGCCAAATATGAAGAAATTTTTATAATCTTTGATTTGTTTTGATCAACCTCTAACAATTTTTCCAATTAAGAACTTAAGCATGGGGAAGGTATTACGCGAAAATTTGCAATATTTAATATTTATATTAACATTAATTCAGGAATATTTGTTACCTATTTTACAGTCTCTGTAGAATTTTTCAACAGGATAATCTTTCGTAAAGCCCACACCTCCCATCCATTCTATACACTTTGTTGTTGTTAGAGCTGCAACCTGTGAATCATTAATACCACATATTTTATTGCTTGGTGGTGTTGGAAGTTTTCACTCCAGATCATGGCAGTAAGTCATGTTGAATTTACCAGAGCACAATTCTGCCACCGCATTGTTCATTGGCAGGCTGTCAAGCAGTTTACCAGTACTAGTTGCCTTCACTTTCGCAAGGAACTGAAACTGCTGTACATACCAGAATAGAGGTACAGTGCGAATGACTGTAGAAAGAATTTCATGATCAATCACAATGAAAGTGACCTGCGCCGTCCAGGAATCGAACCAAGGTCACTTGACTCACAGTCAAACACTCTACCTATTGAGCTAACCAGACAGCTTTTTTTATTTTATAGGTAATTTTGACTGAACTAAAATTTCTATAAAGGAAGAGGTGTGAACAAATGGTTAAGGTGTCAGGCTTTCAACCACAGGATACTGTGGTCATGTTGTATCATATAAATGTAACAATAGTATGTCCAGGAAATGAGTGATTAACATAAATAACTTGTTTAAAACTGAGATTTATTAATTTCCATTATGCGTTAGAAATGCTTTAATTTTACTTTTCAAATAACTACTTTGTTTACATTTTGCTACTTTTAGGACATATTATTTCACAATAAATGCCACTTTCTACAAGGGGTGTCACGGTTAGCAAAAATGCTAACCGTTTAAACATCGACTTAATAACTGTGTTAAATGTTTAAACATTCATACTATAATAATTCTCAGATTTTAAACATTGACTTTGAAAAGACAGCACATTTTGTTCGTATTTTGTTATACTCTACAACAATTACAAGACATATCTGATTATGAAGAAACTGTTGTCCATTTGGATCGTACCAAACACAATAAGATAGCATGCAGTCGGAAAGATACATTTATAATTCAACACAATATCATATCTTGTCATTCAACACAATATCATATCTTGTCATAAAGATAATAAGGTGATATTAAAACCCAATCTAAAATTTTTCAGCTGTTAGTCTTATATTAACCTTGGTTTCCGGTTATTTAATTCTCTAACCGGTTTTGGTTAAAAACCGACCAAACCCATTTAAACAGATATATGTGACACCCCTTCTATCTACACAGCATCTAACAGGCTCTTAAATCGTTTGAGCTAGAAAAGTTAAAGTTTATTCGTTCCTGAGGAATAATGTGCCTTTAACAAATTAAATATCTATATCTTTTAAAAATGAAAATCATTACTTCAGAGGCATAGTATTTGGCCATAGCTCCTTCTTTGATGACAGGTAAACCTGCTTCACGTTTCCTCGCAGCATTATATATCAGTAACCTGGCTGCTTCAATCTGTGTGGCTACATAGGCTATCTGGTGCTGCATTGACTGTAATATAGAAGTAACATGATAATTTGGATATCTGGTGCTGCATTGACTGTTATATAGATGTTACATGATAATTTGGCATAACTATAATGAAGATGTAACATGATAATTAGGCGATCTGGTGCTGCATTGATTATAATAGAGACATAGCATGATAATTTGGATATCTGGTGCTGCGTTGACTATAATATAGATGTAACATTATAATTTGGCTATCTTGTAATATAGACATAGCATGATTATTTGGATATCTGGGGCCCGTCTTATCAACGGTTTTTATCGTACGATCGTTGATAAGACGGGCCCCTGGTGCTGCATTGACTATATCATATTAAAAACATAATAACTTGGCTAAATTTTTCTTGTATATCTAGTGCTTTATTGATGACAATAAATATATAACAGAATAACCTTGCAATCTGGTGCTGCATTGATTAGATAATTTCTAATATAGATGTAAATGATACATTGTAATTTGGCTATCTGGTACAGCACCGATTACAATATAGATCTAAAATGATAAATGAACTTTTTTTGTGCAGTATTTACTACAATGGACATAAACAATGAGCTGTTTTATTATCAATACAGATAAACAAATATTAATTCTCTTAAAAGTTCTGTTTTTCAAACTAATGTCTAATAAAAATGTTCAACTATTTTCCTTTTAAGGTATTTTTAGTTGAATTCAAATCAATATTTGATATCCAAACTTAGAAAACAAATTAGATCTCTGCATCTATACTTGCAGTACTATTACATTATTGTACCTGGAAGTCACAAATTCTTTTTCCAAACTGTTTCCTTTCTCTAGTATAGGGCACAGCTGCATTAAAACATCCCTCAGCCAAACCTAACATCTGAAGAAGAAAAAATTGTCAATCATTATTCAAAGCGGAAGGGGGGGGGGATATTTCAAAGTGAAATGTGTTTGTTTCATGTTGAAGGGAAATATCTAGTGATGTTCAGCTTTCTTATGATGATAATCTTAACAATCTATGTGTGTTCCTCATAACAATTAAAGTTCAAAAACATCAAATTTGATATCATAATTAAAAACTAATTGAATCAAGTAATCTAAATTCACAATTTCCAAGTTGGGTGTGCCTATCTTATAATTAATCTTCAATCTGTAAAATGATGAAAAGAAATTAATTTCTCAATATCATTTATCATAATTTAGCAAACATGATTGTTTTATGAAGATATCAAACCTATCATTACGCCCTGCTGACATATATATTTTTCCAGTGATAATAAAGGTTAATAAACTCTGAAGGCAATTATGAAATTACATTTTTATATGCTACAATTAGGAACTTACCACAGGGTATGAAAATAAATTGCAAAGCATAAAAAATAGCCCTTTCCCTCCTTAATATCTTAAATGGACTTCTCTATCTTTTAATCTTGACAAAATTCAATCATCATTTAATGGGAATATTTCAAAGAATGAAAATATAGCATATTTTAGTCTTTAATTTACATAGTAAATAATTGATGAATCTGATGCAGTCATGTATATGAAAAATATAACTGTCACAACTGTCCAATGAAAATCAATGTTACAAAAATGCAGTGTATAATAAACCTTTGATATTCAGAGAAAGGGCAATAATTTTTCATATTTACCTGTGCTCCAATCCCTATCCTTCCTTCATTTAGTACTTCTATACAATATTTGTAGCCTTTACCAAATTCACCTAGAATATTACCCTCTGGTACTTTCACGTTTTCAAAATGCACGGGACAAGTACTTGATGCACGGATACCTAGCTTGTCCTCTTTCTTCCCTACAGTTAAACCCTCAGAGTCCGCATCTACGATGAAACATGTTATCCCTTTGTATCCCTGTATTAGAAATGTAACTATGACATTCATGGGTAACTCATCATTTGAAGAATAACATTTATCACATAAATCATGCGACATCATTTGCGTTTTATTAAAAAAAAGAGATAAAACTGGCTTATTTTACGGTTATAAGCCCATTAATGTAAAATGACGTTTTAACTGTAACTGTTCTTATTTTGGATTTGTCATAAATTGAATAATAAATTTGTGCAGATTCAACACTATATCTATCATACTTGTTGAATAAAACAATATTATATTTGCCATGATTTTTTTTTTAATACGTTTAGTATCAAATCTACACTCATTCAATACCCTCTATTATTTTCCTCTGCATTTTATCTTAAAGAAAGTATTCAAGATAATCATTCACATTTTATGCTTCCTTCATTCCTTTTTCTTTCTTTTCCTTCCTGATATACAAGCTAACCTTTGATGAATGCTCTCATGCAAAAAGATTTCCTTCCATACAATATTCAACACATACTCTCAGTTTTTTATCATTTTTAATGCAACTTTCTTTTCATCACAAATAGTAATCCAAATTTACATAAACATGGATATTGTTTTACCAGTTGGTTTGTGTTGATCTTAATGACGCCTCAAATAATAGGGAGAATTAAAAATTAACTACTGCCAGGTAGCTTGGCATTGGCTAAAGACACCTATAGAATACTCCACTGCTTTATGTCCGCATTTTAATCCAGGAAGCTTTGTCCATTTAAAAATATAATGGTCCCCTTGTTTCACTGCAGACATCTTCATAGCAAAAGCATCAGTCCCAGAGTCAGCCTCTGACAGACAGAAACTTGCCATCTGTGATACCAAATACAAAACTTTATTTATCACCCATTGCTCTACTAAAAATATAAAATGGACTGGTCCAGTTCTAAACTGAAGGGACTCCACTGAGGTTTTTTAGACATAACGGGTCTGGAAATAATTTTTCAAGATTAATATTCCATTTGATGTAGGTCCAGACCAATAACTTGTGTGCAAAATTTTAGATCATTCGCTCTCTACGTATTTTTTTCCAGAATGATTATTCTAATTGTGGAAAATGATCCAAAATTGAAAAGTGATGCAAGTCAATATCAATTTTCACTCCAATCTGGCAAAAATACTTCAATAATACCATTTTCAGTTCATTCAGAGTAGTTTTTTTAAAATATCTTTTGCATATTTTGCTGTTTTAAGTGTCGCAGTTAATCTTAGTCGGAATTTCATATTTTATGTTTTAAGGCTTTTGGACCTCAGTGGAGTTCCTTTAAAAATAATCCATTGGCAATACATACAGATTTCAAAATCAAAATACTAGAACTGAATTACTTATAATACAGATCATAATAAATTGTTATTAAAACTTTAACCTACTAAAAGATTATATTTGGAAAAAGTTATGCTCTGAATTCGGAACGATTCATTGGTCATTGTCAAGATATTTTATAAACCTATATATACATAAATTGTAGTAAATTCATATTTTAAAATAGGGCAGTCTCCCACCACAACTTGAAGATGCCTTGTTAGTTGAAAATAGGGCGATTACTCGGATATTCGAGATTCAGACCATAACAAGTCGACAATACAGATCAGGTATTCCTTTGCCCCAAGATTCACTATTTACATAACATAAATTCATATTACTGAAAGTTGGAAGATAAACATTAAACTGTTATTAAAGGAACTAATATTGTAGAGTCATTCTTGGTATACATTTTCTTTTTAAAAAATATAAACAAAATATTAATTTCTTTTAGTATCAATACAATGAGATAATTTGTGGTTACATTCCATCTCCTTAGAGTAATTATAAGGGGATGTGACTCCTTACGTAAATCTTAAGGAAGTTGCAGCCCGTTACTGCACTAAGGTTGATGTTTGTGAAAATATCAGTCAAAATTGTGGATCTATTCGTCCACCTTGCTGGCCTTTAAATACAACTGAAACAAGAGCTGTCGGTACGGACAGCCTACGCTGTGCGACGGTATTCTAAGTGCTTGATGAGTTAAAAGAGCTTGATAATGTTAAGATTTCTTAAGATCACAAAAGGTATAAAAAAATTTTTTTTTTTTTAATAAGATTCATGTTATAGGCTTTAGAGAGAGATCTAATTATACAATATTGTCGGTCGACTATTCGGAAGGTAATGTCAAGGCTTGTTTTATTGAATAATAATAATACTAACTTACCAATGAATACATAAATTTGACAAAAGTACCATAGGTTCTAATTAAGATGTTATCAAGCTAAAATCACTGCTTTATATTATGAATGCATAAAATCTGTCCCAAAAAAAGGGCACAAACCCTTCAGTAGTAATCTGATATAACAGCTTACATTAGCAATAACCTCTTTACCATGAATTTCTAAGGTTGAAAAAAGGGGCATAAAATATCAGCCTAAATCGCAAGATAGGAATTAAATACGTGATCTTGTAGTTGACCTTTACAATTATGTTCCCTTAATGCAAATTTGTGAGAGTTTTTATTAAATATCTTTATGTTATGAGATATGTAAAACTTGCATGGTGGAAATAAATTAACAAGAGGACTAAGTAGAAAAGGCGGAATGAATCACGCCTTAATGCAAGAGAGTTATGGAACTTGGTCTAGTGATATACATATTTATGACCTCCAATTATGACCCAAAAGTGCATGTGTAAAATGTTTCCAAGTTAAATATCTTGAAGACCTTTAACCAAAATTTCTAAGTTTCAATAAGGGGCAAATAATTCTTCAAATTTTGCAGGCAGAGTTATGCAATTTGCAAACTGAATGTACATTGTTACTTATAAAAAATAAGTATTTTAAATTTCATATGTAATTATCTAAGCAATAATGGAGATATTATGACTTTTTAACAAAAAAACTTAACCAAAATTCTCAAAGGGGCATAATTTCTGTTAATATAATTTGATGTATTGCAGAGAATTATCCAACTTTTGTCAGTCTTGATCTACCTTTTGTTACTAAATTTAAGTACTGTAAGTTTCAAGATGAATATCTTCAAGTAGATTGATTGAGATATTTACTTAATACATATAAATAAGATTATACCAAAATTTCTAAGAAAAAGGTGCATAATTCTAGTCAATATTGTAGGACAGAGTTATCCAACTTTGTCAATATGCGAATGTACCTGTTACCTATAAAATAAGTATGTAAGTTTCAATTGAAATACTCAATTAATGATTGAGATATTTGACTTTTACAATAAACTTAACATAAATTTCTAAGTTTAAATATGGGCATTAATTCTTGGTCAATATTGTAGACAGAGTTATACTCCAACTGCAATATGATTGCTACCTTGTTACTATTAATAAGTATTGTAAGTTTCATTGAATATCTTCAAGTAATGATTGGTATTTGACTTTACAACAACTTAACCAAAATTTCTTAGTTAAAAAGGGTGCATTAATCTCAATATGTAGACAGAGTTATCACTTGTCAATATGATGTACCCTGTTACTATAATAAGGTATGTAAGTTTCAATTAATATCTCAAGAATGATTGAGATATTTGACTTTACAAAAACTTACAACCCAGGACGCCGACGGACGCGGACGCCGACGGCCGGGATCGACTAAACAATAGCTCTCATATCTTCAAATAGTTCAAGCTAAAAAACCTCTTTTAATCTGTTTATAGGGAAAAAATGCTATGCTCGTACATGAATGTAACTGTTGACTTAACAATCAGGTCAAACCACTACAGTCACTTATCATGATAGATCCACTACTCTGACCTCATATCTAAAATAACAAAGATTATCCACAAACATTGACATGTGCTCTTTTGTTAACAAAATGTTGTGGAGGTTTCTAATTGTATCCATTAATCTGATAATTAAAATAAGACAGGTCATGGAACTCTGCATTAGTGAACATATTGCAAATTTATAAGGATCTTACTGTATCTGTTGCCATTTTAGGTAAGTATTTATCTTTCTGTTCCTTGGTACCGAGCTGACGCATCAGGGTCACCAGCAGGGTATTGTGTACGTCACACATCACACTGACCGATGGATCGACCTTTGCAAGCTCCTCAATGACCAGGTTAGCAACAACAAATGTAGAATTAGTACCACCATATTCTGCATCTATTTCTATTCCAAACAGCTGTAGAGAATAAACAGTTAAAACAATGATAACATATGAGCATGTGAATGCGTGTATTGCAGTTTTAAAATCCTATTCTAGATGACTGTAATTTTCAGTGAAAATTTAGACATACTTTTGTTACTTATACTTTGGATAATTATCACTCATGCAATACAGATTTAACTACATATTTATTTATTTTTTACAGTAATATCAATAACAGACTGACCCAATTTCAAATATCATATCAATATTGGACTGACCTACTTACCATATTTTCAAATATCATATCAATAACAGACTGACCCCCTTACCCCATTTTCAAATATCATATCAATATTGGACTGACCCACTTACCCCATTTTTCATATATCATATCAATATTGGACTGACCCACTTACCCCATTTTCAAATATCATGTCAAAATGGACACAACAACTTACCCCATTTTCAAACATTCCATCAATAATGGACTGGTCCATTTTACTTTCAGCATCCATTTGCCTAACTAAAGGTTGAATCTTCTCAGCAGCAAACCTAGCAACTGTTAAAATAAATATAAATGTTTTTGTTTTCTAAAAAAAAATTGCAAAGGATTTAACCTTTGCCACCAGAATGGTGAGTCTTTTAGCTCAAATAAGACAATCATAATATGAAGTTTAAAGGTACATGTGAACTTAAATTTACTGAAAGAAACAGAATGTAACAGGTGAGTTACTGAATGGGAACAAAGTGTAACAGGAGAGTTACTGAATGGAAGCTGAGTGTAATAGGTATCTTACTGAATGGAAACAAAGTGTAACAGGTTAGTTACTGAATGATACAGAGTGTAACAGGTGAGTTACTGAATGGGAAGAAAGTGTAATAGGTGACTAGGTGAGTAACTGAATGGGAACAAAGAATAACAGGTGAGTTACTGAATGGAAACAAAGTGTAACAGGTGAGTTACTGAATGGGAACAAAGTGTAACAGGTGAGTTACTGAATGGGAACAAAGAATAACAGTAGAGTTACTGAATGGAAACAAAGCATAATAGGAAAGTTACTGAATGGGAACAAAGTGTAACAGGTGATTGTTACTGGAGATGGGAACAAAGTATAACAGGTGAGTAACTGAATGGGAACAAAGTATAACAGGTGAGTTACTAAATGGGAACAAAGTGAAACAGATGAGTTACTAAAAGAGAACTAAATGTATCAAGTGATTTACTGATTGAAAGCTAAGGGTAACAGGTAGTTACTGAATGAGTGTCACAAGTAGTTCAAGTTGATAATGAGACAGAGTGTAAAAATGGAATAACTGACTTGAAACAAAGTTTAACTGGTGAGTTATTGCATTGGAAAAAAATGTCATTGGTAATTTAGTTGTTGAGTGGAAACAATGTGCAACAGGTGAGTGGATGAATTAGCACAAAGTGTAACAGGGGAGTTACTGAGAGAACAAAGTCTCACAATGAGTAACTGAATGGAAACAAAGTACTTAAGTTGAGATTCTGAATGGAAACAAACTGTAACAGGTGGTTACTTAATTGGAAAAAAGTGTAACAGGTTTGTTGCTGTATGGGAACAAATTGTAAAAGGTGAGTAACCAAATGTGAGTAAATTGTAACAGGTGTATTACTGAATGGGAACAAAGTGAAACAGGTGAATTATTGAATCAGAAAACAAAGTGTACTTAAAATTACTGAATGAAAACAGAGTGTAACAGGTAAGTTATTGAATAGGAACAAAGTGTAACAGCAAGTAGTTGAATGGGAACAAAGTTGTTAATAGATGAGTTATTGAATGGAAAGAAAGAGTAACAGGCAAGTTACTGAATGAGAACAAAGTGAAACAGATGGATAGCGAAAAATTGTACAGTTTCTAGAATAACTTTATTCCGATTCAACAGCAATTTGATTCAAAGTTAGGAATTATGGTCAATTGCTGGTTTGCATTTGGAAATGTGATTATAATATAACATTTACTGTAAGAAAAAAACTGTTACCTGTATCTTTCATCATTTGTTCTTCCTCAGTGAACATATCAACTGGAGGTGAGACAAGATTTTCTGGACAAATTTGAAGTTTTGGAGTAAGTATACTGGAGTGGCGAACAACTTGCACTCTGCTTGCAGCTGTTTTTAACAATCCACGGTTCAACCATGCTGTCTGCAAGGAAAACAGCTGAAGTATAACAATTTAAAATACTGTAAATATACACAATTCATGATTTGTTACATTTTTAGCTATCAAACAACTGCATTTTCATTTATAGAAATTTGACAGGTTATCATTAAATATATGGCCCAATACAAACCATTGTGAGCTTTAAATAAATGTCCATATACAACCATATAATATGTAACTAAAAAGTCCTGTAGTATTATACAAATTTCTATTTCTGTTTCTCTGATTAAATCAGAAATAAATTCACAAATTCTGAGCAGCTTTTATAAATGCCATGACAGTCACTTGAAAAATATATGATATAAATGTGCAGTACTGTAAAAATTAAGAAGAATGTTGGCATGCCTTTGATGTCTAAAAAGTTATGAATTAAATGAACAAAAGTTATGATGTTGACAACGATGATGTTAAAATGCATTCCAGTATTTTATCAATACCAGAATGAATTATGATGTCAAACATCTGAAAGAAGTGGTACATCTACTTATCAGTTTAATTTTTGCTAAAATGCGGCAAAAGAACAAAAGAGGTAGAAAATGTGACATTTTTATTCTGGATACAAAACTACATTTGTAAATCAAGCCAAAATATTCCTTCACACTTTCAAAATTGTTCCCCAGGAACTTACCAGTTCTGAGGAATGAGTTTAAAGTTTTTTTGCTCAAGGAAACAATGACTTCCCACAGACAGGGTTTGAACCAAATTATGCGGCTAGTGATCATTAGATTTCTAGCTGAACGTGTTAATCACACCGCCATGCTACCACGATTAGGCACATCAATATACTTTGACTAACCATCTAGTAATCAAACAAATGGAAAGCTCAGGAAAATAACATTAAAGCAAGTTGGAAACTCATGAATTGGAAAATAATATTTCATATTAGCATGCATGTTGGATGGTCCCCTATATGGTACCACTGTTCTTATTATTTCCAGCAAATTGTACAAATAAAAAGAACTTATATTTACTATTTCATTGAATTGTGTTTAGCTGTCGCATCTTGACTTTAGAATACACATGTCATTCATAGAATAACTCAATGCTTTTAAATAAAAACATCTATATAGTGTGTCAGCCATGTTTAGAATGGGAGCTTATACGGAGAACACTATGGTACCATGGTATGTTAATTGATGGCCCTTTTTGGCTTCATTATAATTTTTTGTAACAGAATATGCTGTCACTACAGTTTCAGCAGACGACCTTCACTTGTCTGAACATGAAATTATAAGTTTTACCATTAAATATGGGGTAAAATAAAGAAGTTTTTTCAGCACACAGGCAGCTATCAATGACAGAAATTATTTGAAATGAAAAAAAATCTAACAATTTCTATCCATATTCACAAAAAGCAGGACTTCCACTTCCACTTTAATGGTAGAAACAGTATTTGGTGGCATTCAATGTGTAAAGAAACAAATTTTCTGATTACATCGGAATGGGCAAGGATGCCGTACGGAGTATCCCGGTACTGCCACTTTCTAATCAGCTAAAAGATTTTTCTGTAATAACTGACAGTGAAATTATAAAAATAAAATTTCTCTTACAATTCTGCAAACAACTTTTTAAAATTTTACCTGAATTATTATTACGAATCGAGGACAAATCATTACTGACCCATTTTCCTGTTCTTCAAAATTTCACAACCACTTTTCCATCAGTTAACAAAATATAAATTGTACCACATAAAAATTGTCATAAAATGTTAAAATATAACCAGTTATGTATTTTGAAGAAATTTTGACAAACTCAACTTCAGATAAATGGTAATAAACAATTTTAACCTATTTATAATGACATTTTTCAATCTTGATATCTTTTTACAGTAGTATAGCTGTCACAATTGGGGTATGGATGTACGTCTCAATGTGCACTATAACAGAAAAAGCATGTTCTTGTGAAATTTTTAGGATCTTAGGTTCTATATATGACCCCATTCTAGTGACAGCTTTCTGAAAAGTTATCAGAGAGAATGTTTTTCCTTGGTTAAGTGACTGTTAGTTTATTGACGTATAACCTTCCAATTAAGAATTGTAAGGTAAAATATGTACATATCAAAATTATAGCTTTTGAAGTGCAGTATACATTATGACTTAATGATATTGAAACAGTTGTCCAACTTAATATCCATTTTTGCAGACTGACAAAAAACTGAGTCTGTAAATCAATTATTTTTAGAAAATTAATGCGATTTGTAACTGGGTAAATAAAGGATTAGTGGAAAACACAAATTTTACATATTTTGAACTAAACAAAATACTGGTATTTTCTTTTTTTAACGTCATAATTGACATTGTTGCTGATAAATGTAGTCAAGGTAAATATAAGATGTGCTTACAGTTTGGTTACATGACAAATAAGGTCAAAAATAAAGAATTTCCAGGGATGATTGAAAAGTGGTTGTGATTGAAACTGGCAGTATGTGGATACTATATATCCGAAACCTATGTCACTTTTGACAGTTTATGTAACATTTAATGATAAAACCGACGTGACATTACAAAATAGATTTAAGTCCATGCAGTCGGCACAATAAGAAGACGTTTCAATACATAATTATGAAAAAACACACCGTATTTTACCTTTAATAACTTAGATGTCATTATTACTTCAGTTGTTGACTTTTTGAAGGTCAAGTGTAAATATGTACTAAGTTATAATATCGTTGTAGTCTTGATTTTATTATCGATATAAAATGTTTTTCTTAGATGATGAATTTATTTAAAGGATTTGAAAAATGTATAAATTTATTTAAGGTGGAATCAAATAAATTAAAGAAAAGTAATATTTTTATTAATTAATTAATTAATTAATTCACATTCATTCATTTATCTATTTATTTAAGGTAATAATATCTAATTCTTCCAAGAATGTTATGCAAGCATTATTCTTTGCTAATTTTTCAATTTCATTACAATTAATATCCGATGCTATCACATCTGCAGAAGTGCATGAGGATGCATTGATTTAAAGCCCCAAAACATAGTATTCTAAGAGGAGACAATGCAATTTTAAGAAAGAAACAATGTATTTTCAGGGGAAACAATGCCTTGTAAAGGGAAACAAAAAAAATTAAGGAAAAAAAACCCAATGCATTTTAAGGGGCAACAAATGCATTTAATTAATGGGAAACAAATGCATTTGATTAATGGGAAACAGTGCATTTTATGCGGAAACAATGCACATAAAGGGGGAACAGTGCATTTAAGGGGAAACAATGCATTAAAGGGGAACAGTGCATTTAAGGGGAAACAATGCACATAAAGGGGGAACAGTGCATTTAAGGAGCAACAATGCACATTAAGGAAACAATGTATTTAAGAGGAACAATGCACATAAAGGGGGGAAAATGCATTAAAAGGGAAACAATGCACATAAAGGGGGAACAATGCATTTAAGGGGGAACAATGCACATAAAGGGGGGACAGTGCATTTAAGGGGAAACAATGAACATAAAGGGGGACAGTGCATTTAAGGGGAAACACTGCACATAATGGAAACAATGCATTTAAGGGAAACAATGCACATACATGGGGAACAATGCATTAAAAGGGAAACAATGCACATTAAGGGGGAACAATGCATTTAAGGGGAAACAATGAACATAAAGGGGGAACAATGCATTTAAGGGGAAAGAATGCATTTGAATGGGTAAGGAGAAACAAATTATAGAAGAGGATACAATTCAATATAAGGGAAACAATGTATTCAAAGGGGGGGGGGGTGGCAATGCATTTAATGAGAAACAATTAATGTTTTTTTAAGAAGACACAACCATTTTAAGGGGAAACAATGTATTTTAAGGTTAAGGGGTGCATTTTAGGATAAACAATTCATTAAAAAAACAATGCATTTTATGGAGAAAGAATGCATTTTTAGGGAAAACAAGAGAAACAATGCATTTTAAGGTGAAATTTTTAAGTGTTTAATTATATATTATGTCTCCCTTACATAAATCTCTTACTTTATTTCAAAGATATGAATAGAAAGGCAAGACACTTTTTTTAAATTACCTTACAAAGTTATAAATTTTGATCTTTTACAATTAATAGACTTAAAATGCTTTCTCTAATGATATACAGTATTAAATACGAGATCATTCAAATTATCTTGATCTATAAAATTTTCCACACAGCAGAGAAAGCAGATGACACTAGCAATACATTTATAACTCTAACTCTTTGTGTGCCCTGACTAAAGTAACTCTAATGTTTAGGGGAATGTTCATAAGAATAAAGACCATTCACACATACAGAACAAGACTATGAGAAATGTCACTGAAAATTGCAGTTAGGGGTCATTATACAAACATGTATACTCAAAATTCATTAAATTCTGTTTAGCTAATATTTAATGGTAATTGCAATGATGTAAATTCCCAGATCTTAAATGGCTTCACGCTGGTTACTCTACAAAGCCTTCTGATACCCTGTTCCTTGCATAAATGGGCATATGTACACTCATTGAATTTGAAAATAGATAAATAGATCTGTACGCAGTCATATGCTCTTGACTTTATATAATAGCTTGCCAAACCTACTTGACAATCAAGAGGATTTAGTTTGGTTCATGATTGAAATGGCAGATTAAGATCCATGTATTCTAGGCTTACTCAGGGTACATCCACCTTTCAGATACTGGGAGTACGGGCCGTGGACATGTCACTATCATGTCTTTAAATGTTATTATCTACCAAAAGCTGACATATAAATTTTGAATTCAGTATACTAAATATGTATGGAAGTTAATTTTTTGACAATACTATTTTGATGCACTGAAGGCCAGTGAGACCATTATATAAGGTGTAGATGCCAAAATAAATGATCATATCTTTCGGACGAGCTGGACAGACGGATATGGTTATGAAACTCGGACTGGTACCTGACATGCTTTCTGTATGCATGACAAACAGGCACAAGCATTCTTTCTAGTTTTTGGCCGATTAAGATACATCACATTGTCTATATATCTTCTTGGCACCTCTACTTGAAACTCTCCAGTCACTTTGTCCAAGATGATATACTAAGTTTGATAAATCACAACAATTATTATTTTTTGAATTCTTTATTATCTATACTGAATATACTAATACATGAATCTCTTTAACAATAAAATTATATATAGTCTTTTCATGTTACCAAGACAGGATAAAACAAAACTTACTACTAAAAGTAAGATATTCAAAAAGGAATAACATGTCTATCTATATATTAAACAAATTAATAGGTATATGACTAAATAGTCAGATTATCTTTAGCAAATACATGTCAATTTAATAACATATTTAAACATTTCATTTGTTTCAAATCGGAATTTCAAGTTTCTAAAATAGACAATTATTTTCAACATAGTAGGAGTTTTGAGTTTGAGTCCTACAATCATGTTTCCTCATTAAATACCAGAAATGGTGGCGTAGGGGAGTGGTTAAAGTGTCAGATTAGTAATGTAAGGATTGCTGGCCATGTGAATTCAAACCTCGTCAGTTTCCTTGAGAAACTTTACTCTCATTAATTAGTAGTGGTTGGTTCCAGGAGTGGATTCCAACACAATCAAACTAAAATAAATTAGAATAAACTAAACATCAGTACTTGTTAGTCCATAAATCAGGATCAAACCTGAACTAAAATAAATTCATGTACATGTATGCTTAAACTAAATAGTCTGTTTATTTTGAAAAATATTTTTTTAACCAGTCTATAGCAACATTATATTTATTGTTTATTGCCAGGGCAACAGACTGATATGTTTTTTATTCTTACAAAAGGCACAGTGTGCAATAAATCCACGTTAAATTTAACATATGAAGTTTAGGCATAATTGAAAAAAAAAGAATAAGACAAGTAAATAGATCTACAATATTGACTATTGAATACCAAATATTGGTAATCATCTATATCACAGGAAAATAAAGGCTGTGCGGAGTAATTACATTTTAACAACAATAAACAGATAATAATTAAGACATGGGCCTTTATAAGGCTGAATAAAAATCTGTTTCTAGCTTCCCAACTCAAATTAACTTTTGCAACCTGACTTAAAACTTTTCTATTATATAGGAAAGGCACTTCATAAAATATAAAAAAAATAACTGTATACATGTATTTTCTGTATAGAAACCTGAAGTAAGCCTACTAGAATTTTAACTTTAGTGGTGAAGTCAGAAACAGATTTTTTTCTTCACAAACAGAAAAACAAGACTGTTGACAGTACGATAACATCCTTATTCATTGTGTAACACAATATTCAATATAATAAAAAAACATCTGTTAAATTCACAATCAATACTTAAATAACAAATAGATCAACAATCTTATATTTTGTGTAGTTTACTGAGCTTGGAGTTTATCCCGTAAAGTTTTCCATTGCACTTCATTTGTTACCTTCAATTCTTTATTAAGAAAACGCTGACAAAAAAATCAAAAGCTTAGACTCAGTTGAATAATGATAATATCACATAACAAAAAAGAAAGAAAAAAAAAAAGAGACAGAAAGATTAACTGAGCAAATATATCTAAATATATCTGGCACTAATATCTCTCATTCATCTTTCGCCAGCTGGCAGTTACTGATTTTGCCCATGCAACCAGTGCAAACCAAGATTAGGAGGCACATCTCTGACATTTGAGCATGATCTGCACTGTTCCCTATTTAGTCAGTTCATGAAATTCTCCTTTAAAATGATAAATGGCTTTGTCCAGTCTAAAACATGTCTAAGTCTATTCAAGATATTAAGCGTGGTAAGGGCTAATGAGCACATAAAACTAAATGTGAGCCGCGTCATGATAAAACCAACATAGTGTGATTGCGACCAGCAGTCTGATCAGGATCCATGCTGTTCGCTTACCAACCCTATTACAAGTAGAGTAACTGATAGCGAACAGCATGGATCCTGATCAGACTGTGTGCATGCGCAGGCTGGTCTGGATCCATGCTGGTCGCAAATGCACTATGTTGGTTTTGTCATGATGCGGCTCATGTATATAATTATGCTTTCATTTCAAGTATTGAAAGACTTTGATAAAGTGCCTAAAGAGATACAACATCCCTCATAAAAATGTAACAGACTTTACTTTATGCTGGTATGTCTTGGACCTTGATTCGACAAAATAAAATGTGTAATCACGACCTGAAATGAAACATATTTTTGATCTTGCCCAGGGATTAACTTAAATAAAGTCTTTATTATTAATATTATTATTACTTCACAATTCTTTCTAAATACGATGTTACAGGCAAATATGACAGTTTAAAAAAAAAAAAAAAAAAAAGACTACATTGTAATTTATTTAAAACATTATTCTTGGAAACATATTACAAATATAATAAAACATTAATCAAAATGAAAAATAGTGAAATATATTAAAATAGAAATATGTATATATTCCGCCATTTCATTAAAAATTCAGTCTAATGTGTACAGGTGTCTATCAAGACTTTGATACCACATGACACTTACAATCCAATCAATCATTTAAAAAAGTTTAAAAAAAATCATAGAAAAAGTATTCACAAGTCATGTATATATTAATGCCACCTCAGTTTATTCAACAATAGCATTCTAACATACAGCACACTCGACCTTTTTTTTCCAGTCCTTAAAAGTAAAACAAGGACAATGTAGAAGTTTTCTACTCTAACAAACCGGTATCAGCTAGTTAAAATCCATACCAGAGTTATTGGTCTTGGATAGTGATCTATAACAGTCATCTTGGATTCATGTGTGATGTTTCAATTGAAAATCTTAGTTGAATAAAAAATGAAGTCGCATGCAAAACCTTAACAAAGTATTGTCCAGTAAAAGCTGAATAGCCCCACTATTCTTTAATACAATGTAGGTCAAGTTAAAAATACTGAGCAATCAAATTATTCAATAAAAAATGCATATTTAAATCTTAGGCATACTGTACATATTTCATATTTAATTGTTTATGAAGGTTTTACGGTAAGTCAATAGACACAATAAACATACTGATTCTACAAACAAGAATGAGAAACCAGAATGAGAAATAAACACACATGATCAGGATGAGAAATAAACACACATGACCAGAATGAAAAATAAACACACATGACCAGAATGAGAAATAAACACACATGAACAGAATGAGAAATAAACACACATGATCAGAATGAGAAATAAACACACATGGCCAGAATGAGAAATAAACACACATGATCAGGATGAGAAATAAACACACATGTCCAGAATGAAAAATAAACACACATGACCAGAATGAGAAATAAACACACATGAACAGAATGAGAAATAAACACACATGACCAGAATGAGATATAAACACACATGATCAGAATGAGAAATAAACACACATGACCAGAATGAGAAATAAACACACATGATCAGAATGAGAAATAAACACACATGACCAGAATGAGAAATAAACACACATGAACAGAATGAGAAATAAACACACATAACCAGAATGAGAAATAAACACACATGACCAGAATGAGAAATAAACACACATGATCAGAATGAGAAATAAACACACATGACCAGAATGAGAAATAAACACACATGAACAGAATGAGAAATAAACACACATAACCAGAATGAGAAATAAACACACATGATCAGAATGAGAAATAAACACACATGATCAGAATGAGAAATAAACACACATGACCAGAATGAGAAATAAACACACATGATAAGAATGAGAAATAAACACACATGACCAGAATGAGAAATAAACACACATGAACAGAATGAGAAATAAACACACATAACCAGAATGAGAAATAAACACACATGACCAGAATGAGAAATAAACACACATGATCAGAATGAGAAATAAACACACATGATCAGAATGAGAAATAAACACACATGATCAGAATGAGAAATACACTACAACCTCTGCTGAACAACACCCTTTGGTAGACAAAGATTTTGGTTGTTGCTGAAAGGTTTTTGAGAAATAAGATTTAAAGTAGTGATACTTTGGGAAGAAATAAATGATGTTGTTGAGATTATCGGTCTAAGGAGAGTCATTCTGCCGAGATTTTACTATAAACATGTATGGATAGAATAAGAAATATACATGTATTGAAGTCATTTATTTAGAGCTGAGTCGCATCATAGTTAGGAAAATGATAAACAATTTCAGTGAACAAAAATCACTGACTGCATGAGTAAACAAAAAATAGATTGCAAACTTATTTACATTATTTACATTTAAGATTTAAAGAAAATTTAAAAAATTCATTACAAGAGCTTGATGTAATCATAAAGTATTAAGTTTGAGGACAGAATTGGTTTTAACAATTTGTGAGACACATTGCATAACTTTTTGAATTTTCATAAACAATTTTCTAAGTAGAAACAAGAAGCGGTCACAGACTGCCAAGTCCATCTTTGAACAGTAAGAAAGTTATAAAACGCAAAGAGTCCATTTGCACATTCTTACATTGAATTTCACATCATAAAACAGTTATGATATTGTTTAAAAAATAGTCATACATAATTAAAAGTATTCTGGTAGAAAATGTCACAACTTTGCTGATCTCAGATGATGAAGGAAAAACTTAACTAGGTCTCACTTACTCTTTCTTTTAAATATTATAGATACATGTACATTTGAATGAAGTTTTATCCAAATTGCATTTACAAAATTTTTCAACAAATTCAAACGTGGCTCCCCTGCTTTGCCATATGCAAAATGCACTGCGCTTTGAAGATGGGAACCAGTCAGCTATGGGCGGAGCTATTTGGTAAAATGTTGGTTCCCATAATTAAAAGCGGAGGGTATTTGTACACGGCAAAGCTGGGGAGCCTAGTTTGAATTTTTCGAAAGATTTTGTAAATGGAGTAAAATGGCAATAAGCTTATGTTTATTTCGACTGTTGCGTTGATTATATTACCGTTGAAGTTTAAAATTGACCATCATCGTGAAGATTATATCTTCTGTGTCGATGGACCAAACGATTATGTGAAAATATTGGAAATGGAATAAAATACATGGTGATGTCTGTATGGATGGATGGACAGGGAGACAGACAAACTTTTTATGAAAAAGGCAAAAACAACATGTCTCCCAATCTTTCTGGGAACATTTTGGGAAACATTATTGTGTATCATAGAGCATAACAGCAAAAAAAACAAAAAACTGGCCCATTATTGACTAAAATAAAACCCTTCCTTTCAGAAGCATGATCACATAATATTCAACACTTTCTTGTAAATCTTAAATACTAGTAAAACATTAATAAAAATTGATAATTTGGAGAGAATATTTAATGAATCTGTAGAGCTGTCTGTATGCCAACTGTTGGTAGATGATGTGATGGACCAACTGTCTGTCCGTAAATGATGTAGCGAATCAACTGTACGCTAACTCTGGTCTTGTCAGCATACTTATAAAAGAATGAAGCACTCTTGATCCTAAACTTTGCGGCTCACCTAAAAATCAAAACAACATATAATGTAATTAAATATGAATTATTGAAAATATAAAGATAAATCTTTATGCATCGTTTCCTCAATTACATTATATTACCAATAACATCAATGAAATTGATATACAGTCTGACAAAAAATAAACTCAATGTTATAAATTACCACATCAATAGTATCAATATGACAAATTATCAAATCAATAGTTCCAATGTGAAAAATTATCACATCAATAGCATGAATGTGACAAAATATCACATCAATAGCATGAATGTGGCAAAATATCACATCAAAAGTTCCAATGTGAAAAAATATCAAATCAATAGTTCCAATGTGAAAAATTATCAAATCAATAGCATGAATGTGACAAAATATCACATCAAAAGTTCCAATGTGAAAAATTATCAAATCAATAGTTCCAATGTGAAAAATTATCACATCAATAGCATGAATGTGACAAAATATCACATCAATAGTTCCAATGTGAAAAATCATCAAATCAATAGTTCCAATGTGACAAAATATCACATCAAAAGTTCCAATCTGACAAATAATCACATCAACAGTTTCAATCTGACAAATTATCACATCAATAATTTCAATCTGACAAGTTATCACATCAATAGTTTCAATCGAATAAATTATCACATCAATACAGTATCAATCTGACAAATTATCGCATCATAATGATATCAACCTGACAAATTTTTCACATCAATGATTTAATCTGAAAATATTAAAATCAATGATATCAAGCTGACAAATTATCACAATAATGGTATCATTATGACAAATAATAACATTTTTAGTCTAAATTTTTACATAGTAATAGATAGAAACTCTTGGAGAACTCTAAAACTCTTCAGATATCATTTGTCAGATAACCTTTTAATATTATGTATTTTAATATCAAACTGACAAATTATAACATCAATGATATCAATTTATCCGTCTGGCAAATTTTTTAAAGACATCATAACATTAATGATAAAAAAAATAAAAAAATTACTGAAGAATTTGTTCTTATAATCATTTACAAAAAACATTACACAATTGATAACAAAACTGGTAAGATTATTCTCTACTGATGGAGAAACATCCTTTTATCATTTCAGACACAAACCGAGTAGAAACACCCACCTTCTGGAAGATAGCTCTATAGCTGCCCAACATTATATTATCTGCAGTTTCTGGCCAGACTTTATTTTCATGGCTTTGGATTCACCCAAGGTTTTGAAAATAAAGTGATTTAGTGAGCGACCTTTACCACTTGTACATGGAGGATCTGCAAATTTCACTCACACGCTGAGTTACCTTCATCCAGCTCTTTGTATAGCTTCTTTACAATAAAGAAAGTCCAAAATGGATATTATTCCACAAAGTTGAGGTGCTACATTAAAATAAATGTACATGTATATATATATATTATATATATTACCTTGTGTAGTTGATAAAGAAGTGTCAAGCTCAGATATGCTTTTTTCAACACGTCCACCTTCACCTTCAAATTCATTTGAACTGGAGCGACGTTTATTTTGTGGTCTTGTATTGCTTGTAGTTTCTGCATCATTGCTCACTTGACTTGTTTGCTTCACTGACATTTCTTGACTTGTTTCAGCCTGGTTGTCAGTTTTCTGTATCAAGGTTGGAACAGCTTCTTGTGACTGGTTTCCTTTAATTGGTATCACAGCTGGAACAGCTTCCTGTGAATGGTTCCCTTTATTCTGCATCACAGCTGGAACAGCTTCCTGTGACTGGTTCCCTTTATTCTGTTTCAAGGCTGAAACAGCTTCCTGTGACTGGTTCCCTTCCTTCTGTATCACAGTTGGAACAGCTTCCACTGACTGGCTCCCTTTGTTTGGAATGATTTGTTCATTGAGAGGAGTTTGTGCTGCAGAGCAACTGTAACCGGAATCAGGGCTTGCGACATCTGCATCGTTTGCATTGCGAGATACGTAATAAGAGGAGGAAGGATTGCTGTCGCCATGGTGCAGGTGAAGGCTGTTTGGTTTCCTATCATAGGAGAAAGATCCGTAGGCATCAGCCGAGAGATCAGTATCTTTAGATAAACTTTTCTGACTTTTATAGTTTTGTTCCCCATTTACGGCAGAATTGCAATTTACATTTCTGTCATCTGGTGGTTGACGTACCGTTTGAGTGCCTGGCATATTTATCTGTGTGTTTAATGCTTCTGTTTGTGAAGCTGAAATGCAGTCCTCGACTGGAATATACTCCATAGCTTTAGGTCCGCCAGTATTGCTGTGGGTTTCCTCATTTAAAATACACCCGCCTGCTCCCCTGTCTGAATTGCTGTTTTCTAGTATATTTACTGCATCCTGTGTACGGTCAGTTTGTTGAGTATTTGCAACATTGTCAGACAGTTCTTTAATGGGTTTACTTGGTGGCAAACTCACCATTGGTGCAGGCGGTAAGGACATGGCTGGCCCAGGTTGAATTGCAAGCGAGTCTGAGGATTGTGTGTGAGATTTGGAGTTTGTTTTCAGATCAACAAAAGCAGTGGTTTCAGGTTTTAATTCCCGAGTCATGTATGTTTTACACTGCGTTGAATCACCTTTAAGAAAAAAATAATTTGTAAGAAATCAGTTTATTAAGGCAAGTAGCTAAAAACTGTGTTTTTATAAATGCCTACCCTTTGGAAAATGTAAGGCCCGTTTATTAGGAACTTTTATTGTAGTTAAACATATTCTTATCCATTCTCCTTCATTCTGAATGTTAGAACAGATTTTGATATTTAGCATATAATAGTTTGATATTGCCTTATTGTCAAACAGGCTGATTTGTTGATGGATTTTAATACATATTTGGTATTGGTTTGGTCCTAGGTCACAAACAGTGTGGTACCTTTTTACCTCTAATGATGGAAGAAGACGTCTGGGACCAATTCTTACATTATTTCTGGTACACTAGAGTTCATAAGATTTAAATCACAAACCTTCCATAAGCTAACTTGAGATAATTAAGAAATTATGTAACTTTAAGCAAACAATTAAGAAAATGGATATTTTAACAAAATACATGATAAACATTCACATGTACCTGCATCTTTGCTCCTCTCGAAGATCAGCTGTTCACTTTGATCAAACAATTTAGGCTGTGTCTACAATTAATTTATTCATCAATATTAGTATTTATCATAAATTTCACTATAAATTTATCTTCTAGTACGTACCAGAATGATACAAAAACAATAAAACCATGAAATAAATTCTGCTTTTCAACTGTTGCCGGGACTTGAATTTACCATTTTTCCACTTGCAAATTTTAGCAAGTACAAGAAATTCTAACAAGCAACAAGAACTGTCAGAGGACAGTAACGCTCGACTATTCGAAAATTTGTCACAAAGGTGTTTCATTGAGTATAATAATGCTTACCTATATGAATACATAAAATTGTCCGAAAAGGTACAAACCCTTCAAGTTTCAATACATTCCCTTCAGTAGTTATGGAGATACAAGCTTACATACAAAAACTTAACCAAGAATTTATGAATCGAAAAAGGGGCATAATTATGCGAAAAAGTAAATCCGAGTTATGGGACTTGTGCCAATCATCTTATATAATCACATACAACAAGAGTGTGAAGTTTCAATCCATTCCCTTCAATGGTTATGGAGATACCAGCTTACACGCAAAAACTAAACCAAGAATTTCTAAGTAGAAAAAGGGGCATAATTATGTAAAAAAGCAAATCAGAGTTATGGGACTTGTGTCAATCATCTTAGATAATCACAGAGAACAAGAGTGTGAAGTTTCAATCCATTCCCTTCTGTAGTTATGGAGATACCAGCTTACACGCAAAAACTTAACCAAGAATTTCTAAGTCGAAAAGGGGCATTATTATGTAAAAAAGCAAAGCAGAGTTATGGGACTTGTGTCAATCATCTTAGATAATCACAGACAACAAGTGTGTGAAGTTTCAATCCATTCCCTTCAGTAGTTATGGAGATACAAGCTTACACGCAAAAACCTAACCAAGAATTTCTAAGTCGAAAAAGGGGCATAATAATGTAAAAAAGCAAAGCAGAGTTATGGGACTTGTGCCAATCATCTTAGATAATCACAGACAACAAGTGTGTGAAGTTTCAATCCATTCCCTTCAGAAATTATGGAGATACCAGCTTACATACAAAAACTTAACCAAGAATTTCTAAGTCGAAAAAGGGGCATAATTATGTAAAAAAGCAAAGCAGAGTTATGGGATTTGTGCCAATCATCTTAGATAATCACAGAGAACAAGTGTGTGAAGTTTCAATCCATTCCCTTCAGTAGTTATGGAGATACCAGCTTACATACAAAAACTTATCCAAGAATTTCTAAGTCGAAAAAGGGGAATAATTATGTAAAAAAGCAAATCAGAGTTATGGGACTTAAGCCAATCATCTTAGATAATCACAGACAACAAGTGTGTGAAGTTTCAATCCATTCCCTTCAGTAGTTATGGAGATACCAGCTTACATACAAAAACTTAACCAAGAATTTCTAAGTCGAAAAAGGGGCATAATTACGTAAAAAAGCAAAGCAGAGTTATGGGACTTGTGCCAATCATCTTAGATAATCACAGACAACAAGTGTGTGAAGTTTCAATTCATTCCCTTCAGTAGTTATGGAGATACCAGCTTACATACAAAAACTTAACCAAGAATTTCTAAGTCGAAAAAGGGGCATAATTATGTAAAAAAGCAAATCAGAGTTATGGGACTTGTGCCAATCATCTAAGATAATCACAGAGAACAAGTGTGTGAAGTTTCAATCCATTCCCTTCAGTAGTTATGGAGATACCAGCTTACATACAAAAACTTAACCACAGGGACGACGACGACGCCGCCGACAAATGGGTGACTGCATTAGCTCGATTATTCTGCGAATAGTCGAGCTAAAAACCACACGAAACTTGCAATTTTTCAACATTTATATATTGATTGATTGATTTGGTTTTATGTCAAACTGTCACTGTAAAGGTCATTTGGCGATGTTCCAGCTTTACTGGTGGAGGAACACCTCAGGTGCCCCTCCTTGCATTATTAGAGGCACGAACCGGCACCTGAGTAGAACCACACATATATTTTACACAGCAGCAGTCAATTTATGAAATAATCTCTTTTTTTCTCTCTGATAAAAGAAATTTGCTGCATTATAAACAAGAGGGCCATGATGGCCCTGAGGTCGCTCACCTGTATATAGGCCCCCCCTACACACATATAGTTAAAAACAATGACACCCCTGGGGCCATATTTAAACAGTTGCTTGAAATATCGCATGAGCTGCTATTATATATATGCAAACAACTTATTATATAGGGCCATTTAAGCTATAATTTATGTTATATATTAATGGACACTGAAATGGATAAATATTTTCTGGCTCATCCGAACACCTGTCCATCAACTAAAACAAATAAACATAATACCTTCTGTAGGTAGAGATTGTTTTCCCTATTCCTGGACATTCCCATGTCTACTTCATCAAATCCTTCACTTTCGTTCTGACTTGCAAACTCTGAAAATAATGAATTAAAACATTGCAATAATACCTTTATAAAGATATCTGAACTTGAAAACAAGAGGGCCATGATGGCCCTGAGGTCGCTCACCTGTATATACCCCCCCCCCCCCCGGCAATTTTTACCCAAGGGCTTTTATTTGTTTATTTGAACAGACTTGGTAGACACCCATAAGAAGATGTTTCAATTGCTAAGTTTCAATTGCTAAACATCTAAGTTCTAGCAGTCATTGGGTTTTTTAAAAGAAGATTTTTTTTTTACACATACAGTTAAAAACAATCACACCCATGGTGCAGGGCCAGTTTTGACCCCCGGGCTTTTATTTGAACAAACTTTGTAGATATTTACTTAAAGATGTTTCATGCTTAATATCTAAACTCTAGCTATTTGGGTTTTTTTCAAAGAAGATTTTTAAGTTTTTGCTATACACATATAAGGAAAATCAATGACCCCCGGGGCCGGGCCAATTTTGATCCCAGGGCTTTTATTTGAACATAATTGGTAGACACCCATTAGAACATGTTTCATGCTAAATATCTGAGCTCTAGTTCTTTGGGTTCTTTAAAAGAAGATTTTTTAAGTTTTTACTATATGCATATAGGGAAAATCAATGACCCCCTGGGGCGGGGCCAATTTTGACCCTAGGGCTTTTATTTGAACAAACTTGGTAGACATTCACTAGAAGATGTTTCATGCCAAATATCTAAGCTTTAGCTCTTACGGTTCTTTAAAAGAAGATTTTTTAAGTTTTTACTATATGCATATAGGGAAAATCAATGACCCCCCGGGGCGGGGCCAATTTTGACCCCAGGGCTTTTATTTGAATAAACTTGGTAGACACTCATTAGAAGATGTTTCATGCCAAATATCTAAGCTCTAGCTCTTAGGGTTGTTTAAAAGAAGATATTTAAAGATTTTTCTTTCAGTTGCCATGGCAACCAGAGTTCTGCATGGAATTAAATTCTTTGAACAATTTTTAAAGGTGACCACCAAAGGAACATTCCTGTGAAGTTTGGATGAAATTGGCTCAGTGGTTTATGAGGAGATGTCATTTAAAGCAAAAGTTTACGGACGGACGCCGGACGGACGGATGCCGGACGAAAAGCGATCACAAAAGCTCACCCTGTCACTTTGTGACAGGTGAGCTAACAAAACTAGATGCCCGCTGTGACAGCACCATAACTCTATCACTAGCTGGTGGAATTTCAAATAACCTGGCACAGATGTTCAACATCATGAGATGGTGTGTTCCCTGCAAGAACCTTTTGACTAGATCAAAGCTCAAGGTCATACCTCAATGTCATACCTCAAGGTCAGATGCAACACACCCTCTCATTATTGTAAACATTTGTGCCAAGTTATTTATTTTCTGTCTACTAATGACAGAGTTTTGCCCAGAACAATCATAATCCGGATGGATGCACATACTTACACTGAACCGCCATAGTGACAACTATGTCAAGCTCTCTGCAAGAGGGCATGACAAAAATGAGCATAATGTCACTGTAAATGATAAATATGAACCTGTTACCCTTCAGTTTTTAAATGACAAGTTAAGATGGATGAAAATTAATCACCAATTGCTTAGTATGGGTGATTTAATTTCTCTCATCTAAAATACAGGCCTATCTTTCTATCACTGACTAAGTGTTGGTCAGAATTTATGATTTTGATTTTAACAACAATAGCAACAGCAACAACAACAACAAATCATTATAGGAATTCTGGAAGAAGCAGATCTGTGACTTTCTACTTTAACAATGCCGGTTCCAAATAAATGTCACTACATTTTTCATATATTGATGATACATGTATACACTAGTCATTGTAACCCATTCAGAGAGCTTTGTTCACAAAAGTATGTTCTTTTGTGTGTGTGTTTATTTTTATTTTTTATTTTAGAAGGCCGCATTGTAAATAAGATGTTGCAATCTGTATATGTCTTCATGTGTTACCTTCGGTAAATAAAGTTATTATTATTATTATTATTATACCCTTATATTTGGTTTCAATGTCCTCAGCCAAATCTTTTCTCCCCATTTCCATTACCACTGACAACAATGTGGTTACTTTTTTCTCCTGACTTTCTCTAGAAGCTTTTTTCCACCTGTAACCAAACCATATTGTATTTGAGAGTATAAAACCATATCTGGTTAATACATGTATCTTATAAAAAGTTCGAAAAGCTTACAACCATACTGTTTTCATACCCTAATGGCAATTTTTCAAAAGAATTTAAACGAAGACTTAATAATCTCAATTATTTTACACAGGGACACTAAGACAGTATCAGTACAACAGAATAACATGTTGCTTAGTAACATATTCAATTGCCTTTTTCATTGGGTTTAATGATCAGTTCGCATTATACTGATAAATGTTGCGCTTTAAAATGACTTTTAGAGCTTTATATTGTTAGTGTCTTGTTACAGTTTCCAAACATTTACCCATTGGCTAAACTATTAGAGCTCATTTGCATTTTCTCAATTAGTACATTTGGCCTATAGTAATTTAGTATTTTGTATGAAAGTCAAAATACCACATTGTTTACATTTTTGCTTCCTTTATTACAAATTATTTCACATTCAACACTGTTTTCTGCAGGTGATAAACATCTAAATCCATTATTACAACATTATAAAACCCATGTTTGCATTCTTTACAGGAAGAAAAACATTATAAAATATTATGGCTTATTAAAATTGATTTGTTCTAATTAAAATTTGAAACTGCCCATTGTCAAATTGAGGAATTTCAATATCAAATTTGAACAAGCAGCATCACAAAACCTGATCAGACTGCAAAGGAGTGTAGGCTGACCTGACCCTGAATGAGTAATACTCACTGCTAATATTGTAAGAGTAAATAGTCATTCCCAATTTCAATAATTCAGATTTACTCATGCATGTATTGTCAGGTTTACAGTCACTCTACACTGTAATTAGGTCATACTCAATTGATGTCATTTAGCATTGCTGGGGAAACCCAAGTTGCCACACAGTACATTCAAGAACTTATGAAAACTGCTTGTTTTCCTTATGCAGTATCAGCAACATGCTAGCAAGTAAAAAAATTTCTGTAGAAAGATATGTTCCTTTATCCGAAAATAAAATTAAACTGATATAAAAGCATACCTTAGCAAAGCATTGTATGCCTGCATGCGAACATTCCTGAGGTTGTTAAGTTCCACTTCTTTAACTGTTTCATCTTTTAAGCCAAGATTTAAGGCTTATACATGCCAGTCAGTTAGAAAGTGGGTAGCAACATAAAGGAGGAACTTCTCATTGAAGAAGTCTGTGAATGTAAAGTCATGTAAGTTGTAACATGACAAAGTAAGCAAAAATCAGAATCCTACAATATTAACAAAATCATTGAGTTCTTAAGACGGAAAAATAGAAATACTTTAGTTCACATTTATGTTCTTTAAGTTAAATCAAAGCTTAACATCTAAAAAAAGAATACATGTATATACATGTATCATCACCTTAGCGCAGGAACAGGTTAACTCCTATTCCAAAAGAAAAGGAATTAGCCTGTTACTGCACTGAGATAAGTTTGGTGATGTCAAACTAACAAACAAGAGTTCTGCATGCACTGTTAACGCTCATCAATTCAAAATTCTAAGTTAAAAAGGGGCATATCTCCTAAAATATAGCTTTCAGAATGATACCCTTTGTCAAACTAATGTGCTAAGTCATGAGAAGCAACCATTTGAAGTTTCATATTTATACCTTTAAAACTACATAATGGGCTACATTTAGAAGTATTTGCATGGCGAAAACTAGAATTATGTTGCAGTGATCACAACAGCTCGGCTTTTTCTGTGAAACAGCTGAGCTACATGTAGAAATGAAAACAGTTGTAGAAATGCATACATTGCCTTTCCAGTTGAAACTTAGCATGGTTTTTTGTAACACTGTATCATGATAACATTTTATCAGAAGTAATGTTATTTCTGCATATTCAAGGAAATTTATTTACATATCTAGTTCCAAAGGCTTGCTGAAACCACTTTATTTGTAAACTTGACACAGTTTTTAATCATTAAAACAGTATTTTTTCTTCAATTTTCAAAAAAAAAAATAAAAAAAATAGCATGAATCTAAGTGTGCTTCTCTTGGTTAAAAATTGTTAAATTATTAATCCATTTAAAAATAGCAAAAATTGGATCCCTAAAGAATGCCCAAAATTGAAAATGTTACAGGAAAGTGCAAGCTACATCCACCCCCCCCCCCAACCCCCACCAGCTTTAGCAGTGACCATGTCCCTTGAAACCACAACTGCCATATTACCTGTGCTCTGTGCCTGTAGTGAATCCGGTTGAACTACAAGTACATTTTGATCACTTCTCAGTTTATTATCACCATGCTCTAAAATATAGACATACAAGATGATATACTGATACATTAAAAAAACAACACTTTGTTGAGAAAAAAATTAAACATTATTCTTAAAGCTGCATGCCTACAGATTCGCCAAAATATTTTAAGAAAATCAAACTTGTAAAAAATGTACTATGATTTAAAGAAAAATTAAAAGATTTATCATTCAAGTAATAATTAACATGATATGTGCCATTGATGACTAATTTTGCAGTATTTATCACTATATTTCTACTGCTTTACTAACGCAGTAAGGACTATATTTGCTTATTTTTACCTCGTTTTGGTAATGTACGTGGATTGCATGTGCTTTTTGCAACATGTACTGTGATGTACATTATTTGTTTTGTTCCCTCACAATATCTTACTTTTAGAAATATTTATTTAAATTTTCATGAAAATTAGCATGAATCTTGAGACAATCTGCTTTAAGATTACATTATAACATACATTATACTGCCTGTATTCATGGCTGAAATTTATCATTGTTATAAAAAATGTTTTCCAGAATCACACTTTGTACTACTACTGACTTCAATACTCATAAAGAAAGAGGGAAGTAAATATATGGTGTATCCATGATCATAAAAAAAATGTATATCAAATCACCTTGGTCATGTATGTATTCTCTATATGAAGGTTCTGTTGAAAGAGGCCCATCATGTGAAACAGACTGAAAAATAAATAAATGTATAATTAGATATCATGTGAATGATATGATAATCAACAGATATCAATCTTTTGTAAATAAACTATGTAATAATCAACAAATCACTCTATAAAACATGCAAATTCAAATATTGTAGTAAGCCAAACATGTTTTTTAACAAATTTACAATGCTTATGAATTTATAATATGATCAATAAGAAAACAAATATATACATGTATTCAAGTTTTTCTTTTTAAATAGCAATTAACAAAAAAGGTGTCCTGATTTGATTGACTTCAACAAAAACCTATGTATGACCATCTTCTCGACGGAGTCTGTTTTTCAAACAGATCATAGTTTTACTACAAGCTTCAATAAAAAATTTTAATACTCATATCAAGCTTCATGTCCCTTGGAGTCAAGGGGTTGCTTTTACTGATTGAGCCATCAGGGTTAAATTGAACTGAATTGAATTTCTTGAGACTGGGTGGTCAAAGATAACCTACGAATATCCAGTGGGGTCCTTACCTCAGCAGACTCCAGAGACAGTTACCAGTATGAGATACAAGGGAATCCAGGAACCAGTCCATAATTGACTTATTGCATAGACCCCTTGGTTCTTTTAAACCATGATTACAACCTGACAGAGCTTTGCCCTCTTATGTCAAGCGCATTCAGTTTATCCCCATTTGACAACTGGCACCTGTGGCCATATGCAACTCACATACAGCTAGAACTTTTAGCTAGTGATTCGAACATGTACTGCTAGGCACTGCCTTAGTCTGCCAAAGTTAGATTCTGAAATATTTTCGTTCTGGGTCAGAATCTGGTAGAGGCAAAGAAACAAAATAGCACAAGGACAGGTATTTCTAAACATTGGAAGTAAATTTTACTGGTGGAATTTTTAATCAGCGTGACTGCTTTTCAGCCATTGTTGCACACAGGATGTTAACTTCACACTGACGTAATTATTAACTTGAGTTTCGCAAATTTTGGATTATTAAAAATAACACCGTCCTTCATGTCGCGTAATATAGCGCCTAAAATACTTATTTATTTTCATGAAAAACATAGTGCTAGATAAATATAAAGTGATTCCTTTTTCGAAACTAGTGACATCCTAGCTGAGCATCATGGTTATTGTTTGTTTACTTACTGTCTTTTAATCGGTAAATTGTATTTAGATTTAAGTCGCATAATTCATACTCAAATTGAATTTTTTCAACTTTAAGAGTTTGAGAAATAGTGAATGGATTATAGGTTATAAACAAATAAGATCGAGATCCAAGATCTCTGGACTGATGAATATTTGTATTCAATTTTTCATTTTGATTTGTGATTATCCGAGTACTCGGATACTTGCCCCAGCCCTATTTAACATGAACTGGTACATTTAGAATTTCGAAACATCCCCAGATGTGTTCATATGGCGGTTATCATGCAAAGCAGCATATGGTCCACAAGACAACAAGTAAAAAAATATGTGTGCCCTAAACGTGAAAACAATGGGTTAATGAACTGATACTTGGCAGAATATTTTTGAATACCTTTATTATGATATTCCACTGAAGAGGATTTTTATCAGGTGACCAATCTGCCAACAAATGAATCCACTCTTTGATATTCAGTTCCTGCAGTTTCTGGTGGTCTTCAATACCTATTCCTATTGGAATAAGTTTACTACATTTATTTGTATCTATAAGCTCTTTAAAGGCAGCCATGCTAGAGTATTGTGCCCAGCAGTTTTTTAAAAACCCAGGAGTAACTACCAATATTGTTTTTCTTGTTTCCTTTACATTTCGGAATAATTCTTTGAAAATATTAGAACCACCGATAGCATCTCTGTCGTCATAATGACCCTTGTGACCCCTCTGTTCTAACACCCTGACTAAGTGTTCCGTGAAGTTTAATGACAGAATACAATCGTCTGTTTCTGCTTGACGGGTCATTGCCCGGTTATATATGACATAAAAGTCCACTTTTGGTTCAGCCATAACGACAGCATTCAAGGACGAATAGGTCCAGTTTTACCACCAAATACCTTAACCATACCAGTTAAGAACACGTATATAAACTCCGTCCAAGATCGATTTCCGTAATTATAATGTCTTAACGACAGATCACGCGAAAAACGTGCAAGTAAGAATTTCCGTTTTTAACACTTAAACACTCAGACATTACCCCCTCCGCACTTATTTGTTGGTTTTTATTTTAAAATACATAAATAAAGGTGAAAATGTCCGATATGTAATCAATGGTGATCAAATATATTTATTGTTTAAGCATGCATTCTGATTATACGTATCTGGTACTTACGATAATCAAGTCCCGGTTAGTATTGAATATGTGTTAAAGTATAGATGTATGCCGCGAATAACAGGTTAGTAGCAAGTATTCCCGCCGCCCCTTCCCCCCCCCCCCAAAAAAAAAAAAAAACTTTTATAAATAAATATTATCACGGGAGAGGAAGTGTTACACGAAGGATGGAGTTCTTATAATAACTTGTTTGGAGTTCTTATGATAACTGTCACGGAGTTCCTGGAAAACGTTACGGATTTCTGTGGAAAACTTTTCTATATACTTGGAGAACTCACGTAAAAAATGGTCATTTTTACCTTTGAATGGGGAGTTTGGGGTGCTAAATTAAACTTTGATAATTAAGCTTGCCCTACATATTGTATAATGTTTTATAAAAACCTTTTATTCCATTTTTCATCGCCTTTTTAAAAAAAATCTGGTAGTTTTGAGTAAAATTTTCATATTGCTTGCTCATTCGTACATATTGATCTTTTTATTTGTTATCTTCTTCGTTGCTATACATAAATACATAATTGTAATGCATAGTTGCAAACATAAAGCCCAGGCTAATAAATTAATACCCGATTTTTCAAATGTCACGGAGTTCTTGTGATAACTCAAAATATGTCCTGGAGTTCTTATGATAACTTTTGTTACTGCCAGTGTGTTGCTTGTGCCTAATTACGGCACGTTTTAGCGTATTTTATTAGTCAATAAGTGTGTAAATCATTATGAAGCTTAGTACGCGTATCATTTGCACACACATTTGGTTATGTAACGTTGGTTTTGAGCGTATTTCAGTTCAAAAGATAGTTTTCGTACCCCCGTTTCTTGTGTTTTTTTGTTTGTTTTTTTTTTGGGGGGGGGGGGGGGGGGTGTTAAGGCCTCAACAGACGGTAGGATTTTGAAGTACAACACCAATTAAAACTAAGATGTACAGACAAATCTTAATGTGTGAAGGCTACTATTTCTTGATTTCGGAAACCTTATGTCTAGATGTAAGGGATAGGACATGTTCTATTTTGAAAATCTTGTCGTACCGATTTTTACAGACCTCCCACAATGACAAGTAAAGGCCTCAACAGACGGTAGGATTTTGAAGTACAACACCAATTAAAACTAAGATGTACAGACAAATCTTAATGTGTGAAGGCTACTATTTCTTGATTTCGGAAACCTTATGTCGAGATGTAAGGGATAGGACATGTTCTATTTTGAAAATCTTGTCGTACCGAAAAACTCTTCAGGAGACCCAAAGTCGTGTTGTGTTCGAATCCCAAATTATTCCGAAAATGATTATGTCACGGTATTGAGTTGTTCTCTAATAACATGACTTTGGGGAGGGGAGGTAGTTTGTAGGCGGCCACATAGCTTAGTCAGTAGAGCCGCAGTACGGTATTCCGAGGGTCCCAGGTTTGAGTCTCGGTCAGGCTTCACATTAAAAATATATATACACTGTATATACAAATTCTCAAATTTCACTGTATATATATATTTTTTTAATGGAAGTGCTTCAATCATTACTCATGGCGAAAAAAAGTATTAAGTGAGGAAATTTTGTAAAGGATCAATGTAAAGGGATCCTTTTTAGGGGAAACCTCAGAAGATTCTTACAGTATAGAATTACCGTCTGAATGCAAGTGTTGTATAGCTTTGAAAATTGTACATCTGATCTCTAATTAGTGCTGTACAACTAAATCCTACCGTCTGTTGAGGCCTTTAGGTTTTTTTTGGTGTTTCTTTTTTTTCATTTTATTGGAATGATTAAAAACATACTTGATGTAGAGCATTTACTTACAGGATAAAAATATGCTTTGAATTTAATATTTAAGCATGATTTCTTCATGTATACATTATTCCTGGCAGTTTTAGAAAACATTAAGTCTGCCGAAACAAATTGCATGTAAATGGTTTGCAGCAAAATAGAAAGTCGTATGCACTACCTTTAACTAAATTCAAAGAGGTTGGTTTCATCTTTAGGTATTCAATGGATATCTTAATTTCTAAAAGGTATCAATTTTGTCATAGTAACGTATAAAGTTCTATGAAAATGATATGACAATAGATAGTAAATATTTAATAATATATGTGAGTCACCATAAGGTTCATGCCGTTTCTTTCTCTATTAAATCCAATGTAGCATCACATGATATATGGAGGAAAATTATTGCATACATTTTTCTTATCAAAGTTGGGAGTCCTTCGGGCATTCCCCCTATGTAATCCTAGTTGTGGAAACTTTTGCTGTAATTGATAACAAAATTATATTGTCAAACTTCTTTCGCTCGAACCCGTAGGGCACGTGTAAATCTGTTGAAGAGATCAATAGTGATCGGTTTTTTTATGTATAAAAAGATCATACATTTCGGGTGCATGGGTGTGAAGGGTATCCCAGATATATACTTGTTGTTTATGGTGTAAAATGATACAAATTACTTAGCCGCTTCTTCAGGAAAGCCCAACTATATATTGTCTGCTTAAGAGAGGCGGTTGCTTAAAACATGTAACTGAGAAAAATGTGTAAGATTTATCAATTTTTATTCAGAAGTTTAAGCCATGTTTCTGCTGAATACAGGTGACCGCTGGTTCAGGTTTTCCTGAAGATAGCCTGTAATTCACCTGTTTAATCCTTTATAGACTGCACAACAAAAGCAGTTTCATGTTCAATCTATTCTTAAAAGATTTGGGGTTTTCTGACATCTAAATCCTGAAAAAAATGACAGTTACCTAAAATTTACGTGACAAAATTATTTACACACCAAGCTGTATACATGTTCCGCATATTAACTTTACTATGTCATCATAATAACGATATGCATGTCTATTATGCGACATATATTTCTCCGTAGTTGCTGACATTTCAAAGGAAAAGTTAGGACATAAAACTATAGTTTACGAACAATATACACAAAAACATTTAGTGCATTCGTTCGGTTTTATAATGTAAATATGAATTCGCACAAATTTGATTAAAAAAAATATCTTTTGAACTAAAACACGCTCAAAACCAATATTATCTTACCTATTTTTGTGTTAAGGCTGAGAGTATAAAGTTTCTTGATGATTTAAACACTTAATAAATAATAAAATACGCGTAAACGTACCGTAATTAAGCTCAAGAAACACACTGGCAGTAACAAAAGTTATCATAAGAACTCCAGGACATATTTTGAGTTATCACAAGAACTCCGTGACTTTTGAAAAATCGGGTATAAATTTATTAGCCTGGGCTTTATGTTTGCAACTCTCCATTATCATTAGGTAATTAAGTAAAGCAATGAAGGAGATCACAAATGAAAAGGTCAATATGTACGAATGAGCAAGTAATTTGGAAATTTTATTCAAAACTACCAGATTTTTTTTTAAAAGGCGATGAAAAATGGAAAAAAAGGTTTTTCTGAAACATAATATAATACGTAGGGCAAGCTTAATTATCAAAGTTTAATTTAGCACCTCAAACTCCCTATCTAAAGGTAAAAATGACCATTTTTTTCACGTCAGTTCTCCAAGTATATAGAAAAGTTTTCCACAGAAATCCGTAACGTTTTCCAGGAACTCCGTGACAGTTATCATAAGAACTCCAAACAAGTTATCATAAGAACTCCATCCTTCGTGTTACACTTCCTCCCCCGTGATTATACATAAAACATAATAACTGTCACGATTCGCCACACTAACGATTCGCCACATAACAATTCGCCACAGAGTGATAACGACTCGCCACAGTTAAATTTTGCAAATGTTTTATCAGATGCAGAATGTTTTTATTTAGCATTTTCGCCGAAATTCATGGCATCGGTAATGTACACGACTTTGTACAGTACTGAAAATAACTTAGTGATTAAAGTAATTTATATTGGTATTTACAGGTACGCATATTAACGTACCTGGTATTTACAATGTAAATTTTATGCTATTATCACGGTTCAGAACTGTGAAAACCGTCGCACTATTATAGCGAGAATTCTAAGAATTTCCTAAGATTCTATTTTCTTGACAGCCGGTGCAAGTTATGAGTCTTTAAAATAGAAGGACCCCATAAAAAGTAAGCTCTCTGAAGTGGATATGTTTATTATTTTGGTGAATCCTGAATGTTTTAACCCTTTACTTCATGAGCATATTGTGAGAAATGGCCGTTTTCGTTGAAAAGCCTCCTGTTACAAGATTAAACTGCTAAAACTATGAAAAATGCTTTAATACTGATGAAACTTGGCATAAATGTTGACTGGACCATAGCCTCTGTAACAGCATGCGCAATCTTTAATTTTCTGTTACCATGGCAACGGAGGCGTCTCAAAATTGCCAATTTCAAAGTGCTGCAACTTCTCAATGATTTGAGGTAGAGTAAAAGGCTTTCCAGCGTTGGTTACACGTTACCTTATAGCGATCGTCTTGAGGCCATTTTAGCCTGTCACATGTCCAAAATTTTCTTGGCGATGAGCTAGGGGGCTGCCGCCCCTTTCAAACCCCCAAAACAGAAGGGGCACATTTTATTTGTAAAGATATAAACATTTTACTATGTTCATCCACGGATTTATATGTAATATATATCCGTGGTTCATCGCCACAAACAAAATGACGGTTACAAATAGAGTAAATGCAAAAAAAAATGTAGTTAACTGAATACAAATTATATGTATTTAAAATTTAACATTTTTATATTATAAATCACCACAAATACATTGTATTTCAATACATGTTTTGTAAATAATAGCATGCTATATATAAACAATATCAACAAATATAATCAATAAAATGGTTATAGCGAACAACAGGATAAACGAAATAGAGTTGCTTAATTCTTCAAGATACATTGTAGCTGCATACGCGAAGTAATTAAAGATCCTGTATGTTTTGTGATTGATTTTGTTACTGTGTGTGTTCCATAATTACAAAAAATTATACATGTATAAAATTATGCAAATAAAACAATTTCCAAACATCGAAGAATATGTAAAATATACATGTTCTGCAAATATTTGTGCACATTATATGTAGTCAATAAATTAGACCTACATGTATATGCATTTATTTCTAATTGGAAAATTTGACTTGGAATTTATAGAAAATATATAGTTCTAATTTACTACCCTTTATTTAAATGAAATGTTAAATTCGGTAATATCTTTATAGATAATGCTTATCGGAACTTACAATATTGACAAATCTTAATTTGAGCATCATATTTATGAAATAAAACTGTTATATGATCTTTAATTGGTTGATGTTAAAATATTTAATAAATCTACATCTACCTTATACTGCTGCTAAATTTTTAACGTTTCTACTTTGCAGGCGTGTTGTCTGGGAATTGCTGTTAATACAAATGTGTTAAGTGCAAATTTATAGGTGGAAGATAGAAGAATACAAATGTCTCGTTTAATATTGTTCTACTTTTCGAAATTAACGGAATTATCTGCTATTAAAAAGAAAGATTTTTTTCCGAATTTCAATATGATAATTTTACACTACTTATGAGAATCAGTGTGAAGTGTTCGTTGATCACAGGTGAAATGTCTCTTAATCACTTGATCAGTGATGTGTGCACGGCCTTAATTAAAGCTGTGATCTGTGTAAGCACGGATTTATATTACACATAATATGATATTTATAAATCGGTGGTGTTAGAATTGAATTTCCAATTTTGTGTTTTTATGCTTTTTGACCTCAGTGGAGCTCCTTATAAGTTGAGATTATGAAATCCAACTCTGACAGATAAATACTGTAGAATAATGACAACAAAAATTTAGCGGGCTGAGACTTTAATTATCCAGTACGGTATTTGACGGAAGTTATTCGTTTGCAATTAAACAGTACGGTAACCGTTTACAAGCAGTCACTGTCACGTGATCAGTAAAGCGGAAGGCGGAAAAGTTGAATTCAGTCAACGGTAGTAAAACTAAGAAAAAAATACTGTTTTAACAATTAATTTGCTGCTTATACAGCCTCTTTATTATTGACCATATGTAGAGAGTTATAAATATTTTGCCTGTTACCACAAAATGAATGATATTTGTTACAATTAACTCAGATCGCGAATTCGTATGACAACAAATTATCATGAAGTTACCTTTCTACGAATCGTCCGATATCCTTACATGGCCAAAATACCGTTTTTAAGGAAGGGGCTTCAGCCTTTTTTGGGTGGAAAATAATTGCGTGATTTTGGCATATTTGGGGGGGGGATTTAACACAAACTTTTAACAAGTTTTTAAAAATAGAAAAGCTAAAAGCACTGGAAAATACTAATCAGGCATTAAGTGATTAAAAGACCTTAATTCAACACCATCATTTAAATTTGTTCTAAATTCTATGGGAAATTTCAAAAGATTGCGGAATTTTGAGGACCATACTGGGGGAAAAAAGAGGCTAGTTTGGTTGGGGAAGCAGCCTATATTCGGCCTTTACAAAGAAGGGTTTTTTAACCCTGCCTTTTCAAGTCATTTAACTTGACAACAAAATTATTGATGTTCTGTAACATGAAAATGCTACCCGCACACATCCGACATGCACTACTCCTGCCTTAGTTCTGGCTTCCAAAACTTTATAAGCCGCTCTTTAACATTTTTGTTTTTCATCAATGCGGCATTAAAGTTTTGGATTAGACCCGTTACGAAACCTAACCAGAATAACATTAGTTGATTTATTCTTGTTTTTCACTTGCAAATACACTTGACCGAATCAATTCTTGTGCATTTTACGATAAAACAATTATTTTAATATCATTCTATACCAATTAAAGTATCAAAATATTAATACCGTCATTAAAATTGCCTATTTAACTGTAAAACATCAATTTATGCCGACTACAGTCGGCCATGACATTCAGTTGCCACGCGAGACCTCGTATGACGTCATTCGCGGGAACAGATTTGAATAGAGTCGTGTACTATATTTAGAACATTTTGTTGACATGATTTCAATATTTTTATTCAAGATAATGTTTTTATTTATTTTCATAAATTTTTCAGTACTTTAATATGATTTTATTGAATATAAAAGTCAGTAAATCACCTTTTTCAATATCTTTAAAAAAAGTGATGTATAAAAATATTTGAGGCACATGGGTTCATAAAGGTCAATCTCGTAATCACGTGGTCAAACATTTTGGCAATATGGCGGCCAAGTGCCGAAATTTTTACCTGTCGGAAACTATTAGGTAGTTTATGTTCCTAATAAGATTTTTATTTGTCCATCCTTGGCTTATCAACAGATTATATATAGTTTTATCAAGGTATGCTTTACTTTACTTTCTGGCATGTTCGATGAATAAATACGAGCGTGTCAGATTCCTGGCACGATTATTGGTGGACTTTCCCTACGGGGTTATCTTCAGCGTTCACGTCATGTCATAGTATATAAACGGGTACGCTGAAGACCTTAAGCTACTCCTGCCTATACATGCTAATATGGACATGTCAGATTTCTGGCACGATATAGCTGCTATAGCACATGCAAGAGGGGAGATAGCATAGGGGTAGGGCTTAGGTCTTCAGCGAACCCATTTATATACTATGACATGACGTGAACGCAGAAGACGGACCTGTAGGGAAAGTCCACCAATAATCATGCCAGAAATCTGGACCTATACCTTAATAAACCAGATATTTAAATATACAAAAGATATGAAGCTCCGAAATAGACGAAAGTCAGATTCAGACCCACAATCCTTTGCGAGCTTCGGTGATAATAGGGTTTTCCTGCTTGTCTCCCATTTTTGGGCTCTGGTTTAACTTCGGCGATATCCATGAATTATTATTTACATTGCCAACATGGATTTTCATCAGAGAATATTTGTGTGGAAAATTGTGTATTTTACGTTTTAGAATAAAATAACTATTGTTAACAGTTTCTTCTCCGTTTATATTTAGCTTCATGATAAAAATATGTAGAATCGGTTGATAAGCCAATGATGGACTTACGAAAAATTTATTACAAACATAAACAGCCCAATAGATTTCTACAGGTAAAAAATCAGCACTTGGCCGCCATATTGCCAAAATGTTTGACCACGTGATTACGAGATTGACCTTTACAAGTTAATTTGTGCAGACTGTTAAGAATATATGATTATATTGACTCTGCTCTTAATCTAGGAGCATTTGTAACATTTAAGAACGAAATATAATATGAAATTTTTAGGCAAAGCCTATAAATGGGGAAGTCTGCTTAAAAAATCCTTCAAATTTTCTGTTTTTAAGGTGTCATTCTGTATTTCATGCACTTGGAACACTCATCGGTTATTATTAATCCAAAAAGTTGCGGTTTTTCCATATCAGAATATCCCCCCTATTATAATTGAGTTACATTGAAAATGGCAGCGCACAACTGACACTGAAAATTTCATTAGTTTAATAAAGGACCTGATCACACATTTCTGCATCATATTCTGAAACATTGTTTTGTTATATGAATAACCTATTTTATCTAACACCCGTGCCGATTTTGCGACTCCGTAAATATGGTATTGCACGGCCATGCATATATTTTGACGTGACGTCATTAGCGTTATACAAACATAGTGTAAAGACGCGCTAAATGATGGCATTATTCTATAGGCGCGTCAATGAAAAATGACTCTTATTTCACTTTAAACGGTCTTTATTTTGGGTGTGTGATAAATAGAATATTAAATTCGTGTAAGTTCATTACTGAATTTATTGCACTCGTTGAATAAAATAATATTATGCTCGCCAGAGGCTCGCATAATATAATTTTATTCAACTCGTGCAATAAATTCAGTATTGAACTTACACTCATTTAATATCCTCTATATGTTATTAACACATATATTGTTTCATTAAAACATTTGTGATTTGTTAACACTTAAACAATGATATCATAAAAATAAATCTTAGTACCTGAACAGTCAAACTTATTCATGTAAGATGCCGTATGAAAACATGTTTTGAAATGATAGAAGAATGTTCGCCTTAAAAAAATTTTTGCGTGATCAAATAGCTATAAATTTGCGAATATTTCTAATTTTGCAAAAATCCCAAATATTTCCACATTTCAAAATTAACCAGTTACCACTTATACTTATTGCAATTCAAAACACTGTAATACTAATAGAATTCAATTCTTTATTTTATTTCAGAATTGGAGATGGGTGACCGTGCTTCAATGAAGGATGTTTTCATCCAGTGTCAAACTGGTCTTCAGGGACATGGCAAACTGATGAAAACTCTCAATAAGATTTATGACAAGGTAAGTCATTTCCAGTGAATTAACGTAATGTTTTAGAAAGGCATAGATTAATATGTTTTGCATGTCATCAATTGGATTTTAAGAATTTTGTTACATATCACATAATGTGAGTAGAAAAATTCATGGAAAACACTGATTTTATAACCAGTTTGAGATACAAATTGGAAAAATGCAAGTATATGTGTCACATCAGCATTTTCTTTGGGACATTGCTACAAAGTTGGCAATTGTGGTAACTGCCTCAATAGGAGATTTTTTATGAAAAGTCCCTTAAATCAACCTTCATGATTTATATAGATTAGTCTGTAACTTTAATTTACTTATATTACGATTAAAAAATACAGGTTTCTCTTTGACTTTCTTAATTAGGAGAATATTACCAGTTGGAGGGGCAGTTCAGACAATTTTTGCTGCACATGCAATCATGAGTGACATTTAAAATTTCCACATTTTGATTTTTTATTACAGACAGAATTTGAGGCATTCTGGTCAGAATTTCAGCATTACCTTAAATATGCCATGATCATATTTAAGAGAGAACCAGCTGTTGAACGAATGATTGATTTTGTCTCCAAGTTTGCTCCAACTCTCTGCAAGAAGACTGTTGAAAAAGGTAATTTGATAATGGTCTTTGATCATTTGATTATAAAAAAACATGTTTATAAATACACTATGATATGAGTGTTATATAGTCTGCTTTGTCAGACACTAAACTAACAGTACTAATATCAGTGGGGAGAAGGAGAGGGACTATGAACACGGAGGCAAAAGTGTTAAGGTGTTTCGACTTTTTGTCACCTTTCCTCCACAGTTTTGAGTTCTTATACCACCAAGACATGGGATCATGTCATGTGAGGAAGCTCTTTCAGTTCACTAACCAAAACTCGCAGGTGCTGCTCATTCACCCTCTTTTTGTGTCCTATATAATGTACAAAGGTGCATTCGAGATTTTACTTCACCAGAAAAGTTGGACATATACATTTAACCTCTTTTGTTTCAGTGTGACTTGAACCATATCAAGTAATAACAATTATATGATAAATAATGTATGATTGTGTTTTATATGTGTCAGGTGTAGAGGATGGAGATGATACTCTGGAAGAAGAGGACAGTGTTGCTGATAATAGGCTGTTACAGGAAATGTTTGACTTTTTGCTGTCTGTAAGTTTGTAGAACATCACTTCATGTTTTGTTAGTAAAAACACTAATGTATATAAGTGGTATGGTTTTGTCAATACTTCTAAATAGCTTGTTAAACAAATATTAAAATTCATATTTGGGTTAACAAAGTTACATGTAGAAAGTAAAATATGGATGGGTTCAAGGTTCGCTTAGAAATTAATATGTATTTATAATTTTGGAAAAATTAAAAAAGAACGTTAAGACTTTATAAGATGACAAAAATGCATTACATGAATTTACTTTATATAATTTTTCTCAATGTATTTTGTGTTGACTAAGCTTGGTTCTTTCCCTTGAAGAGACAGATTTAGTATTTACACCTCCAAATGACAGAAATGTCCTTTTTGTCCCAAAATGGCTTATAAGAATTCATGATAATTATGTTGTTTTTCTTCTATTACCAAATTTCACGACTCAAAAATTTGTCAACTGGATGCACCTGTTCCTATAAGTGTAAGAAAAAAACACTTGTCAGGTTGTTGAATAGGATAGTTTCTTAGTTCTTTTGGATAGGAAAGTAACAGTTTCTGTATTGTTTTAAGTCTCACAGTGCGAGGGAACGTGGTGTAAGATTCCGATGCTGTCAGCTGATCAATAAACTATTGGCAAACCTGGGTGAAGATGCCCAGATAGATGACGAGTTATATGACAGACTGTATGAGTGTATGTTAGAGCGACTGAAGGATAAATGTCCAATGGTGCGCTACCACGCTGTATAATGCCATGGCAAGACTTCAAGATCCTTCGGATGACAATTGTCCAGTTATAAAAGGTAGCCATATTTTGAAATCAGCTGTCTGGATTGGTGTCTAATTGTTGTTTTGCTTAAGCTGTTTTAATTACTGAAGTTGGTCCGCCAAAAGTATGCTTTTTTAGCTCGACTTTTTTTTTTTTGAAAAAAAAAGTAGAGGTATTGTTATAGTCAGGTCGGCGTTGCCGTCTCCGTTGCCGTTGCCGTTGCCGTTGCCGTCCGAAAACTTGTACCTGGATCATAACTTTTTTATTTCTTGGTGTATTGTCTTCATACTTGGCCACAACAACCCTTGGGACAAGACCTTTCAGTAGACCACACTAACCTTGACCTTCATCCATAAATGACCTTGACCTTCAAGGTTAAAAGTCCAATTTTTGCTTGTTCATGCTGTTATTGGCTGTTACTTTGTTATTTTTGAATGGATTGTCTTCAAACTTGAACATAATAATCTTCAAGGATATCCCTTAAAAATAACCAGTCAGACCTTGACATTCACTCATCAATGACCTTGACTTTGAAGGTCAAATTATTGAAATTTTCATTTTTTTGGCTATTATTGGCTGTAACTTTGTTATTTTTGAATGGATTGTCTTCAAACTTGAACATAATAATCTTCAAAGATAACTGTTAAAAATATACCGAAAGACCTTGACCTTCACTCATTAATGACAATGCCTTTGAAGGTAAAATTATTGAAATTTTCATTGTTTTGGCAGTAACTGACTGTAACTTTGCTATTTTTGAAGGGATAAACTTCATATTATAACAGAACATTCTTAAGGACCAGACCTTGTTGTTTATCAAACCCAAATTTGCTTGGGCTCTTTAATGACCTTGACCTTGAAGGTTATATTACTGAATTTTCTCAGATTGTGCATTTATTGGTGTGTGTGTATGTATAGTATATGTATTATATATATATATATATATATAAATGTGTGTGTATATATATATACATATATGCAGGTATATATATATATAAATATATATATATATATATATGCATGTATATATATATATATACATATATAGATATATATATATGTATCAAATATATATATATATATATATATATATATATACATGTATGTAATTGCGTCATGTTTTTCTATTTTTAGAAATTGCGTCATTTTTTCTATTTTTAGAAATTGCGTCATTGTTGCTATTTTTAGAATTTGCGTCATTTTTTTCTTTTTTTAGAAATTGCGTCATTGTTGCTATTTTTAGAAATTGCGTCATTTTTTTCTATTTTTAGAAATTGCGTCATTTTTGTTCTATTTTTAGAAATTGCGTCATTGTTTCTATTTTTTCTATTTTAAGAAATTGCTTCATTTTTTTTCTATTTTTAGAAATTGCGTCATGTTTTTCTATTTTTACAAATTGCGTCATTTTTTCTATTTTTAGAAATTGCGTCATTTTTTCTATTTTTAGAAATTGCGTCATTTTTTCTATTTTAAGAAATTGCTTCATTTTTTTTCTATTTTTAGAAATTGCGTCATGTTTTTCTATTTTTAGAAATTGCGTCATTTTTTCTATTTTTAGAAATTGCGTCATTTTTTCTATTTTTAGAAATTGCGTCATTGTTGCTATTTTTAGAAATTGCGTCATTTTTTTCTATTTTTAGAAATTGCGTCATTTTTGTTCTATTTTTAGAAATTGCGTCATACTTTCTATTTTTAGAAATTGCGTCATTTTTTTTTCTATTTTTAGAAATTGCGTCATTGTTTCTATTTTTAGAAATTGCGGCATTTTTTTCTATTTTTAGAAATTGCGTCATTTTTTCTATTTTTAGAAATTGCGTCATTGTTGCTATTTTTAGAAATTGCGTCATTGTTACTATTTTTAGAAATTGCGTACTGTTGCTATTTTTAGAAATATGCTTAATGTTTCTATTCATATATATACAAAATATATAAACAAAACTAATGTGACAAGACAGACCAACTAAATTTATAAAAAGGAAACATCAATATATGTTCAAACCTTTCTATGTTTGCGTTTAGAAAAAGTAAAAAGTCGAGCGTTGCCCCCGCCCGGCGGTGGCTCTTGTTCTCCTACCATTGGCTAGTACTTACCCTAAAAGATTGGAAAAAATTTACAGCTATACTCCCGGAGATAGTCCTTCAACCTTGATGTATTAAATGTATTTTTTACCTTCAAATGTTCTTATAGATTAAAGTATTTATCAATCTTTAGAAGTTAAATTTTGTAATTTATGTATATTGTTATTCGTTACTATGATATACTTTGTTGTTTATTTCCAGCGTATTTGTTTTTATTGAACTGTGATCCAAACGCTGATGTTAGACGGGCCGTGTTAGCATCCATAGCGCCATCTACAAAGACATTGGCTAGCATTATTGGACGTACAAGGGATGTCAAAGGTATTCCACAGATGTAGCACAGCTTTATATCTTACTTTGACAACAGATGTTTCTTTCTCCTAGTCTAATTTTCCTCAAAAATTCTATTATCTCAGATTCTTCATTTTTCTTTACATAATATTTGCTAGTTTGTTTCTGAAGGATAAATGCAGAATAATGTAAAATAGTAAGGGTTTTTTTTACATGTTGAATTACTTGATGTATAAATGACAACAAAAAGCCATCCTGTTGAATTTAGCGTAATTTTTCTGTATTTCTCCAGATACTGTAAGGAAGACTGCGTATGAGGTCCTGGCAGAGAAAATCCACATTAAAGCATTATCAATAGCCTCTAGACTTCAGCTTATTAATGAAGGACTGATTGACAGAAGTGGTAAGTGACTTTCCTACTTAATACCTTTAATAACAAAAAGTATGACCTAATACATACAAATTTCTTTAATCAAAATCAGTGAAATGAGCATACAGTTTCAGGGTTTTCATTTTATCTGAGGCAACAGATGTGCCAACGAAAAATAGCCAATTTGGCCAAGAATCAATTGGGATATTTTAATGTACAGGCTGAAAATACAGTCAATTTTAACAACATTTCAATCAGTGGTATGGATTACTGATCTGTTAATAATGAAAACCCAGCTGTTTGTTTGGTTCTTTCAGGTGATAGGTTAGGTGAATTTTATGTTGGCCATATAATTTTAGTGTCTATATCTCAAGTTTCCTGAAATTAGTATATAGTTAGTTTGTATGTGAAGTTTTAATAGAAACCACTTGCCTTGATCGCTTCTAGCAAGGGTCTTTAGGTTCTTTCATGTGAGGAAGCTATCCAGCTTATTGAATGTTGGTGGTTCTACTGAGGTGCAATGCATGGAGTGACACCTGAGGTCTTACTCCAAAAGTAAAGCTGGAAAGTTGCCTTATGACTGGTACAGTGTTGATGTGATGTAATACCCAACCATAAAAAAACAACAACAACAATTAACATTGTTAACTACAATAATTAAATTGAGTAATATCCTAATGTCAAAATCATCAATAAATAGGCTAAAGAAGAATGGTAACTAGTGGTTAAGGTGTCTGCCTCTGAACCCAGGGATTGTGGGTTCAGTTCCCTGTTGGGGACGCTATTCTGTTTCGTATAATGACACCAATACTGGTTAGTTTCAAGAAGTGGACTCAAAGGTTGTTTCCAAGTTGCAATTGAGGTTAATTTGAAATAAATAGATAAAGAAATGTGTTAAGACTGTAATTTTTCTTTTGTGTAACAGAGATGGTACAGCAAGCATGTTCTGGTAAATTGTTACAAGCATGGATGAGAACTGTGGGTGGTAACATTCTCGACTTGTTGAAGAGTTTGGATGTGGAGGATTCTACAGATATCTGTACTAGAGTCCTCGAAACATTGTTCAAGGCAAGCTCCATTCAGGACATGATGACCAGTTTTAACATTTTAGATGAGAAGTAAGTGAAATAATATAGTGATACGAGGGGTGTTCTATATATTTGTAGACTTTGCTTATAATAATTTTGTAAGGCAAACATGATTTATAAAAATTACATGACCAGAATCAGCAATTAAATATACAATTGTACATGAAATTTCAACCACGTGTGACCAATTGTCTGTATTTGATAGAGAATAAGGCAATGTCACCCGACAGCGCCCTAGGTCAGTGACGTTTCTGGATGTAACTTTGATTTCTGACGTGTAGTGCATCGTTGTAATTTGTTGTGACATACAACGCAACATATTATTGAGAAATATATTAACAAATTGCAAACTAATGGCTAATGTTGAGATTTTATGCTGGGTTGGAACAGTTGTTTACATTATGAATGATTTTGTTTTCAGGCTGCTGATACCAACAGATGTTTTGAACAGTGAGAGCGCCCTCTACTGGTATGCAGTGTGTAAGTTTATTCATGGCATGGGAACTGATGGTGATGAATATATGGAGAAAGTTCTGCCTACAGCTGTAGACTTTTGTGCCTACATGCAGAGGTAATTACACTGTTAATTTGACTGTACTTGATAAAACCAGTAAACAAAACATAGTAATAAAAAGAAAACTGGATGTTAGTGTTACTGGGTGGTCAAGGTTGCTGACGGAGAACTTTTTGTGCCCCCACGTTAGTGGCGGGCATTTAGATTTACCCTTGTCCGTCTGTCCGTTCACTTTTGTGTCGCACTTAACTCAAAAAGTATTTGACCTAGAGTCATGAAACTTTACAGGAATGTTGATCAGCATGTGTAATTGTGCACCTGGGTATTTTCGTCTGGATATTTTTAGTATTTTTAGAGTTATTGCCCTTGACTTAGTAAAATTTTGCAATTTTCAACTTGTGTCGCATGTAACTCAAAAAGTATTTGACCTAGAGTCATGAAACTTTACAGGAATGTTGATTAGCATGTGTAGTTGTGCACCTGGGTATTTTCGTCTGGATATTATTAGTATTTTCAGAGTTATTGCCCTTGACTAAGTAAAATTTTGCAATTTTCAACTTGTGTCACACGTAACTAAAAAAGTATTTGACCTAGAGTCATGAAACTTTACAGGAATGTTGATCAGCATGTGTAGTTGTGCACCTGGGTATTTTTGTCTGGATATTTTTAGTATTTTCAGAGTTATTGCCCTTGACTTAGTAAAATTTTGCAATTTTCAACTTGTGTCGCATGTAACTAAAAAAGTATTTGACCTAGAGTCATGAAACTTTACAGGAATGTTGATCAGCATGTGTAGTTGTGCACCTGGGTATTTTTGTCTGGATATTTTTAGTATTTTCAGAGTTATTGCCCTTGACTTAGTAAAATTTTGCAATTTTCAACATGTGTCGCATGTAACTCAAAAAGTATTTGACCTAGAGTCATGTAACTTAAAATTAATATTGATCAGCATGTGCAGTTGTGCACCAGGTATTTTTGTCTGGATTTATTTAGTATTTTTAGAGTTATTGCCCTTCACTTAGAAAATTTTTGCAATTTTCAACTTGTGTAGCAAGTTACTCAAAAAGAATTTGACATAGTCATTAAACCTTATGGGCAGGTTGCTCAGCATATTTAGATTTGCACCTGGGGTTACGCTTGTTGATTTATCCAGTATTTGTAGAGTTATTTCCCTTGACTTAGTAAAAAGATTGATAGAACAGTGGCGCGGTGGGGGCACCCGTGTCCTATGGACACATTTCTAGTTTCCACAAGAAAAGCTAGTACAAGTCACCATATGGCCTTTGCATTGTCATTGCGGCTTAAAACTTTACAAAAAGACAGGACAAAAGACCATTTCATGGTTATATAAAGAAGTAATGGTTATCAAAACTTTATTATTTATAAATTGTAAACATTTATATGTAAACAGGTATGTAGATGAGTTGAAGACTGTAGAAGATCCGGAGATACAGCTCGGACGAGAGTTCATCATTGAGCAGTTACTGTTGATCACCAGTTTCATGGACACTGCTGATGTGGCAAGCAAGTATGTCTCTGCTTTATGTGTGTGCTTATTTTTAGCTCAATTATTCATAGACTAGAAAGAGCTTTTGTACTTGTGTTGGTGTCACACTTTGGTTCAGTTTTTGCTTGAAAGTTGGTATATTCAAAACTACTGAAGGAAATGGATTGAAACTTCACATATACCTGTGCTTCGTGATTATCTAATATGATGGGCACAGGTCCCATAACTTTTGAGTTACCTTTTTAGCTCGATTATTCGATAAGAATAAGTAGAGCTATTGTAGTCACCCGAGCGTCGGCGTTGGTGTCCGCGTCGGCGTAACCACTTATGTTAAAGTTTTTGTAATAGTTCAAATATTTTCAAAGTCCATTGACATATGGCTTTGAAACTTGGCACACTTGTTCACCATCATGACCCCAACCTGTAAACAGGAGGAGGTAACTGTATCAAGCCTTTTGACAGAATTATGCCCCTTTTTCGACTTAGAATTTACGTTCAAGTTTTTGTAATACCTCAAATATTTTCAAGGTCCATTGACATATGGCTTTGAAACTTTGCACACTTGTTCACCATCATGACCCCAACCTGTAGACAGGAGGAGGTAACTGTATCAAGCATTTTGACAGAATTATGCCCCCTTTTCGACTTAAAATTTACGTTAAAGTTTTTGTAATATCTCAAATATTTTCAAAGTCCATTGACATGTGGCTTTGAAACTTTGCACACTTGTTCACCATCATTACTCCAACCTGTAAACAGGAAGAGGTAACTGTATCAAGCATTTTGACAGAATTATGCCCCTTTTTCGACTTAGAATTTATGTTAAAGTTTTTGTAATACCTCAAATATTTTCAAAGTCCATTGACCTATGGCTTTTAAACTTTGCACACTTGTTCACCATCATTACCCCTACCGGTAAACAGGAGGAGGTAACTGTATCAATCATTTTGACAGAATTATGCCCCTTTTTTACGACTTGGAATTTATGTTAAAGTTTTTGTAATACCTCAAATATTTTCAAGGTCCATTGACATATGGCTTTGAAACTTTGCACACTTATTCACCATCATTACTCCAACATGTAAACAGGAGGAGGTAACTGTATCAAGCATTTTGACAGAATTATGCCCCTTTTTGGACTTAGAATTTACGTTAAAGTTTTTGTAAAACCTCAAATATTTTCAAGGTCCATTGACATATGGCTTTTAAACTTTGCACACTTGTTCACCATCATTACCCCAACCTGTAAACAAGAGGATATAACTGTATCAAGCATTTTTTTTTACAATCAAGCACTAAGAATAGTCGAGCGTTGCTGTCCTACCGACAGCTCTTGTTACAGAGTCTGGCCCCTTTTCATTCTGTCAAGCATTTAGAGTAGTGGAGTGTGGAATCTTACAGTCAAGTAACATACGAAATAAGAACAAATCTGCTTCATGATTAATTCAAAATGAATCACTATCCTAATATTGACATAATGATTGAATAAAATAAAATTGTATGATGAAAAAGAAGTTCTTAATAAGTGAATAATATTTTAGCTTTAAGTTTTTCAGTTAATTGATGTTTACATGCCCTCATGTTTTAAAGACTATTGCGCTTGCTGTGATTTATTTCAAGAAATTGGGCATATAATAGAGAAAACAATAAACAAACTTACGTTGAAAATTCCTTTTCATATTTTTTTCAAGGAAAGCATTAGAGACGCTACTACACAATATGTTGATGGCGGATCACGTTAGCCACAGACTGGTGAAGTTTATCATCACACAGATCTGTTCTCTCAGAGGGAGTGGAGAGAATATGGTCGCATATTTTGCTGAGACAGTGTCGGAAATACGTGAACCAATCACTGTTGTGGAGAAAGACATTGAAGAGGAAAAGAAAAGGCAGATTAACCTGAAGGTATTGTGCTCTTGACTTGAGATTTATTTCATGACTTTAATCAGCATTTATTTGTCAAAAGTGGAAGAATGTCCAGAATTTAACATCTTTATCCCTTTATGATGTTCCGGCTGAACAAATATGAGGTAGAGGAGTTCAGCCAAATATGAGGTAGAGGAGTTAAATATTTAACTTCTGTCTGTTTGTAAGTTTCTTAGCCATGCTGAAGTCTATAATGAAAGGATCATAATATATAGGTAGCTGATAGAAGTTAGATTTTGATACTAGGACACCCTTTATTGCTTTTGATAATGCACAAAGGAGCCTCCTCTTCAAATTAAAGATAGTAATGCCCGTGGGGATATTCCACCATTTCTTTATTTAAATCTGGCTATTATCCGTTAGTAACTTATAGTAACAAATCAGTATTTGTACAGTTGATGATAATCTCTTGCAATTAATTTGAAACAAGTTCAAATTTTCTCAACCTTTGAGTCGTATAGGAATGTTGTACATTTATGCGTGAATCAATCGTTTCACTCAAACTAAATTTGAATTCCATCACGAGTAGTATCTTGTCAGTGATTGACAAAAACTTATGAAGACAAGATTAGTTTAGCGCATACTTTATTCTGTTAGATTGCTGGTATTAGAGTACAGTTGAACCATGCATACTTTATGCTGTTAGATTGCTGGTATTAGAGTACAGTTGAACCATGCATACTTTATGCTGTTAGATTGCTGGTATTAGAGCACAGTTGAACCATGCATACTTTATGCTGTTAGATTGCTGGTATTAGAGTACAGTTGGACCATGCATACTTTATGCTGTTAGATTGCTGGTATTAGAGTACAGTTGGACCATGCATACTTTATGCTGTTAGATTGCTGGTATTAGAGTACAGTTGAACCATGCATACTTTATGCTGTTAGATTGCTGGTATTAGAGTACAGTTGAACCATGCATACTTTATGCTGTTAGATTGCTGGTATTAGAGTACAGTTGAACCAGTTAAGAGAAGATCTAGACGAAGCTGTGAAGGGCCAGGATTTCGAGAAAGCTGCCAGTATTAAGTCAAGTATTGCCCAACTAGATGTTGAGAAACGTGAGCTTTTAGAGACGTCAGAACCTGTCAGGGAGGAAATTAGAACGGAGAAGGTAAGAGGCCATTTGTAGTGCTATGTGATAAAGCATGCTTACTTTTAAAGGGACCCAGAAGAGACCATAGTTAACGTTGCTGAAGGGAGTTCTTTGTTTAGTTGATATGTAGGTAGAATGCAAAATAAAAAAGATTTTGGTTCTTTTAAAAAATGTTAAATATATTATAGACTTAAAATTATCTTAAAACAAAATCCAGACTCCATTGAGAACTTACCAAATTTGCAGGACTGGTGAACATGATCTTTTGCTGGTATTTTGTCAGATAACAATATATTGCTGAGATAAACATGCCTCTCAAATTATTTTTGCCTTTCAGAATGACCCATTCACTCTCATGAAATGTCAGACGATCATCTCAGAGATGTTACAGCAACTTAAACTAAACAATGTTAGTTCTACACTCCAGATGATGATTGAATCTCAGGTCTGTTGATTTAAGTATCCCTTTTTCAGTTTTTAAAATAAATTTTCTGTGTTTTTACTGTCAACTAGTTTTCTGGAGTATTGTAATAAGTTTTATTGAAATATATATGAGCTGCGTCATGACAAAACCAACGTAACGCATCCGCACAGTCTGATCAGGATCTATGCTGTTGGCTATCGGTTTCTCTACTTGTAATAGAGTTGGTAAGCGAACAGCATGGATCCTGATCAGACTGCGCAGGTGCGCAAGCTGGTCTGGATCCATGCTGGTCGCAAACCCATTATGTTGGTTTTGTCATGACGCGGCTCATATATTTGAAAATCTTGAAGGTGAGGATTTTTAAGCCAACAATAATATTGTTTGTATCTGCAGTTATCTATCAAAAAATGTTTGGTTGTTTGTTTTTACAGACATAATAGTTACAATGAGGCCATCACTTGTATGATTTTACAGCTGTAATATTCTTGTCAAGACTACAAATATCTTTCTTTTAAAGGTATTCTATTTATAAGGGGAGATTGCTTTTAATATTTAGGACATACATTTATAGTTTTGTATAGGAGAAAGAAAAGTTTATGCTTACAAAGAAAAATCAGTATTTGAGAAGAACTTTTCTATAAGAAATTCGCCTATCACAGGCTTATAAAATGGAAATAGCTATAAAAAAAACTTGGACATTACACAAGTCATCTATTCCTACCCCAGCAGATTCCAGGTGTCCTTATTTTGTTATACTGATTGTGCATGGGATACAGTATATAGATAACACATGGGTTTGTGGGTAACAGTAAAAATATCATCCCGAGGAAAATCCCGTTACCCGAGGCGTAGCCGAGGGTAACAGTATTTTACGAGGGATGATATTTTTACTGTTACTCACAAACCCATGTGTTATTTATTTTATTACCCCAAACAAAAATACTGTGAGGAACTAAATCTAACTGTAACAAAAATAAACCAAGAGTTACAATAACTAAACTGTCCTTACCTTTTTACGTTTTAAGTGTACTTTAGGCCTACTTGAGAAGTTTTCTTTTTCTTTTATTCTTTAAGCAAGTGATGATATCTACAAATCATAAACATAAAATAAGCTAGGTTTTATTTAGAAAACAAAACACTAAGCCATTTACACGGTTATGATCTGTGAAATCTGATCCTTCTGTTTCCAGAATATTCTCAGCATGGTTTTGACAAAATAACGATGATATCCTATGTCTGTCCACCTTATCTGTAACGTTTCACTGATTAAAATTGTAAAATAATCCTTTGTTGCATGCTTAAATCGTCTGCATGTTCCAGCTTGACACATAATTATTTACATTGTAATTACTTCCGTTGAAAACGGATGTTCACTTTTTGACTATTCAACAAAAAGATATTTTATACGCGAAAAGCACATCAGGTTGCAAACAACTAAATTTTATGAGTGTTATAGTTACTCCAGAGAAGAAATTGATGTCCTATCGGGGTTTAACGTCGAAAATAAGAATGAATCAAGAAAAAAATGGCGGCCATTTTATTTAGAAAATAGACCACGTGACCAGATTTTATACTGTTAAAAAAATACTGTTACCTATGTATCAGTACAAAATTCTTAGTCACATGGTACACTTGCATTAACAGTAAAAATAACTCCCAGAGGCCTATGGGAAATTAGCATTACGAAAAAAGTGAGGGGTAATTATATTTACTGTCTTTATTTTATAGATTGTGCCAGGGATACAGAACGAGGATGCTGAAGTCAGAAACATGGCCATGCAGGGTCTTGGACTTTGTTGTTACCTCAGCAAGGATCTACTTGTCACATACATACCACTGTTCATGCAGGTACACTACATTAATTATACTCTCTATTCTGGAACCTGGGATATTAATATCTTTTGACGAAGCTAAATTTTTTACAGAATTTATTGTAAACCACTTTTTATTTATATGTAAGACGAGTGAAGGGGATAGGTTGATTCAGAGATTTGGGACTGTAAACAATTGTTTCCAAAAAATGTAGAGTCTTTTAAATGTTAAAATCATTTTTTAAACAGAAAAAAAGAAAGATTATGTGATAATAATTAATGTGATTATAATTGTGTTATTTTTGTCTTGCAGGCGTCTCAAATAGATGTTGAAGGTGTAAGAGTGACAGCGTTACAGGTTTTGTTTGATCTGTTATTGATATATGGGCTAGAGATTGTAGATGCTAGCGAGGGATCGTCTAACGAGTCTGCAGACAACCGGAACAGTGTGGACGGGATAACGTCAGAAACTGCCAGCTCCTCCAGTGACTCTAGAAACGGAACAGCCAGTAAACTTGTGGCTATTATATGCTCATTCCTTGATGGAGAAGTAAGTTAAGTATACAGTTAATTTCATGGGCGGAGAGCAACAGTTCCAAATGCCATCCCAGGTACCAAGGGACAACAGTTTTAACTGTTCCAAAAGCACCCACGAAATAACTGTTTTATTACTAAATGCTTTGCAACCTAACTAATATTATGTATGGTATCAGCATACTCATAACATTTAAAAATCACTACCATACATCGAGTTTAGAGATGTTCTATTACTGAATAGTGGTGGACAACGTTAAAGGAAATTCCCAAGGCAGGTGAGAATTAGTTCTAAATGTTGACTGGTGAACAGTTATGTCATCACTTGCATGCACAAGATTTCAGCAGTTCATTTAAAATAGTTGTAAGTAAGGAATTAGTATTCAAAGAAGGCATTAGGTGGTAGTGAACCATTTTGAGTAATTTTAATGTGTATTTAGCAAAAACATTTTTATAACAAAAAAGTCTATTGTGATTATTTCATAATATACTTAATCCCATTTGATGTTATTTTTAGAGCTCAGACCTTAGAACTTGTGCCGCTGAGGGTCTGTCAAAGTTACTGTTATCAGGTCGAGTTGTATCCTCCAAAATCTTGTCTCATCTGGTACTGCTGTGGTATAACCCTCTCTCTGAGGACGATACTCATCTTCGAGACTGTCTTGGAACTTTCTTCCCGCTGTATGCACTTGCTTCAAGGTACGTTAGATAAGAATCTGGATAAAGTGTGATCCATCCCTCAGAAGCAGTAATTACAACAAAATTACATGAAAATTGCAGACTGTGTTTGATTGTGTACATGAGGGGAAATGAAAAAGTGCAACTTCCCTCACGCCCCCTAGCACATTGATCATTGTTGGTTGAATATAGAGAGAGGTAGATCTATAGTGTGATCTTCGGTTCAGATTATGTTTTCTATGATAAATTTGTAAAAATTGATACAAACTGATGATAATATTTAAAATAAATGCACATTTACTATAAATTATTCATTATTAGTCTTGCTCAGTTACAAATGGGAGGGTATGTTCTCAGAGCTTTGTGCTTTTCTGTTTTGAATCATGGATGTATCTTTTTTCTCTGTTAATGCATTGGTTTCTTCGAAGAATCAGGACTGTGAAAATTTAGTATTTAACTAGATAGGTTTTGATTAAATACTGTCAATTTTATATCATAGAAATATAGATCTTTCCTTTGTGTTATTGCAGGAGTAACCAAGAGGTTGTGGAGGAAGCATTTTTACCGACACTTCGTACATTACTGAATGCTCCTGCTACAAGTCCTCTAGCAGAGGTAGATGTTAACAATGTCGCAGAACTTCTTGTTCAACTCACAAATACAAAACTGTTGACGGCCAATCAAAACAATACAGAAATCAGCTTGGTAGGTGCTTTTCAGTTCTTTTTAATTGATAAGGAAGCCATCTTGTTTTATCTGCCCTATTTTAAAATAACCTCTAAAAAAACATGTTGCTCATTTAGTGCTATCACTTTATCATAAAGTTGTACACAGCAGTGTTCAATCTAGAGCGCGCCATTGCGCCATTGACCCCCTGAAAAGACCGCCGGCGCAAAACAAATTCAACTGTGGGCCCAATGGGCGCACTCGTAGAAAATGCCCTAAATGACATTAGAATGCTTTCTTAAACCTGATTAAGTACATAAAAAAAGTTTCTTGTGAATAATATTAATAAATACTGAATTCAAAACTGAAGTTTGTAAAGAAAAACAAGAGCATGTTGGTAAGATAGTTACCGCATTCGGTAACCCTTTTAAAACCTTGATCACTACGCTCTCTCGGCCGGGGTCTGTAAATACTATGTAGACTTTTTCTTCGTACCGTAACTATTACTTACTTTTGAGTCACAGTTTTTATAAACAAAACAAATCGTCACAGAAAATCCAATACGTGCATGTAGTTATAGTTTTTTCACGGTCAAAACAAATTAATATGTCATAACTTTCCGGAGAAAAAAAACTATATATTTGTGAAAAGTGCGAGATAATTATAGAGAAGTGTGCATAAATTATTACGAACACGCCTTCATTCAATTAAAAATGTCTTAAAGATGGAGCTAATCAAACATGATTGGCTAGGGGGTGTCTGACAATTGAGTAAATAAACTTTGATTGGTCTTTGGCTGGTCGGCGTTAAAACATTGTGCATATCATTAATCAATACATGTGACGTAAGAACTGCTGCCCTGACAAAAGATCAAAGGTACCGGTATGTCAATATACATTGTCTTAGCACCTGTTGACACTTTGTTTTTCGTTTGGATATAGTCTTCATCAACAAAGCTAATTGGGAAATATGATTTTCTTTTATATATCGGGCGCTGATTAAAAAACTGAACATTATTATCAAATATCCATGGTAACATTAAAATAAGATTCATATGTTTCTTTGAACATTATGTCATCGTTTCTTTACCAATCAGTTTTTAAAATTGAGCCTGTATCAACGCTAACAGAACTCTCAAAAATGGTCAAAATAATGTCATTTTTTTAGTGAGTTGATTGTTTTGGAATTTTTCAACCGTTTTTAGTCTATATATGGTACGTGAACAAGTAACTTAAAAGATACAATACCTTATTTTAATTTTATGTTCTTTTAAGTGCGGGCCCTCTTTTTTTCTCAAATGACCCCCTTTTGAAAATCTAAGATGTTTCTTAATGGCAAATTGATGGTCACACCAAAATGACCAAGTGCATGAAATAATTGTTCTTAATATGGATATCTCAAAGCTTTTTCATTTTGAACAGAAAATTTATTGAAGCAAGTACAATGTACAAGCAGAGATGTAGATAACTAGAGATGTTATCTATGTCTCTGGTACAACCATTATTTTATTATATAAAATTTTTTTTTTAAATTTAGCAAGGTAATAAAGGAAAACATACCACTGACATGTGGAAAAAGAAATCATGGTTAACCTAAGACTAATTATATAGGTAGAAACAAGTGGTTCGTTTTGTCCCTCGTTATTAAGTGTTTGTTTAGATTTATGCTGAAGTGTAAACAGTTTGGAAAAATTTAAAATTCGAAAGAAGACTTAAAAACACAATAAACTCAAAATGGCAACAGTCATGCCCTAGTATGAAAGTTGAAATAATGTATATTACGTTGATTGTATTTCGATCTTGCAATAGGTATATAAAGCCAGGTCCAATAAAGAGTTTTAGTCACAAGAATATTTTGAAGTATATACAATTTTAATTGAGCTATTTAATATATCAACATAGTTGAAAGAAGAACATTATTTGAATATGTTTATTTACAGTCATTGCTCGAAGACAGTATTAGGATGGTAAAATAAGTTGTCGAGTTTATATGTGATCTATGTTAATGTTGTTGTTCTTTTTAAAGTTACTTTTTATGAAATTTTTGAATAGGGAGACTTGTTATAAATGTAAAATTTTTTGGATTGAGTTATTTTGTTTCTGTTTTCAGTTATATCTCTAAAACTAAAAGTAAGATTGATATAGGTGTAATTGACTATTTGAAAACAGTTAAAAAAATTTTGGGCATTGTTTGCATAGTAAGCATGTGTTAATTTCATATTTGAATCAAGTTGACTTAAGGTGTGGTAAACTGTAAAGACTAGCAGAAGTTGTATTCATGTGTCCGTAATAAGAAGCCAATTAATTTGACCTTATTACTTACAGGACAACCCTGGTCATGACAATCTGTCTGAGACGGTGTGTAACGAGATACTGTCTAAACCAGAGTCGGCACATGTAAAACTGTGGGTGCGAATACTCAACCAGATGGACGTAAGCCCAGATAATGAAGTTGTTCTTAAAGACTTAAGGATTTTAGCCTATAAAATGGCAAAGGTAAGTTTGCTTTTGCATTATTTCTTCCAAAACAACATGTCCCTTGCAGGTTAGTAGTTAATGTCAACTGTCATATATTTTTTTGGTTGAATCCTATTTTAGGGAGTTTGATTTTTTTATGTTAGCTATTATGTGAAGATTTATTTAGTGGCAATTTGCTGATGTGTCCACTGGTTTCTTAAATAATGGTGGATCTCCATCCAGACACATATAAAACGTATTGTTATCAATGGCATATAGTCCAAATGTGTGTTCTATTTAGTGTTCGTTACACTTGTCACTTTCATTAACAATTGACTTGCTTACTATAAGTTTAAAGATTAGGAATTTTAGGTGGTGGTTTGTCTGAAAAAAATAAACAAAACAGCTGAAAAACTTGACTACTATCTACAATATATACAAATATATACAAATAGATATAACTGTAAATGATATTTGGCCTATGAAGTTGAATTATTAATAAGATTGTAATGTTCTTATTTGGTCTATATATTTAAGGGCTAAATTCTAAATGTATTTGTCTTCTCACGTTTTGGTCTGAAAAGCTCTGAGGAGAGATATATCAAAGTCATTGCATTCATGTTACACAAACATTTCACATTTGATACAAATATATTTTAACATATTTACAGACTGTGAAAGAAAAGACATGTTTGAAAGGTCTTCAGAAATTTGAGGCTAGAATTAATGAGCTGGCAAGTAAATTTGTCAGTGATAACAACGACCTGGAGAACATTGAGATTGAATCAGTTGGAGGGCATACAGATGGTAGGTGTAATCTTTATCTGTTTTATACTGTAAAATTGTCTCTCTCCCTTCTTACCATGTCATGATTACTTTACCAATCCTTTGTTCACAAGAATAGATGTCTTGTATAAATCTATATAACATTAACTAACAATATGATGGGTCCGTACTCTCAGTGCCTGAAAAGGCAAATGGACACTCATTAAGCCAATACACAAATAACATTTTAAATTGGTAACCAAGGTGGCTTATAGCATGCCCCTGACAGGAACTATGGATTCTTTCATGTGAGGAAGCCAACCAGCTAAGCTAGGTTATGAAATGTCGGTGGTTCTACTTGGGTGCCCATTTGTTCCTTTGATAATGCACAGAAGGGCACATCTTTCACCAGTACAGCTGGAAAGTTGCCATATGACCTATATTGTGTTGGTGCAATGTAAAACTAAACCAAAAAAAAAAAAGAAATAAAGAAGATATCCTCTGATTCTTCTTTTAAAAGATATTATCAAAGCATAGTAGAGTTTTTTCTTCCATTTATGGAGTGTTGGATTGTCACAATTTTGTCTGAATAAAAAAGTCTAAACTTATAGGATAACTAACAAACGTATGGCTCAGAGGTAACTCTTTAATGTTGTTACAAGACTGTACCACATCAGGGGTGCAGATGACATTTTCATTTAGGACTATGAAATAGAGAGAAATAGAATCCCCCAAGAAAGTCCAAAACAGCAAAACTGAAAATGTTGCAAGCTCGGTTTGATTGAATCTGTTCATGGGCAGAAATGAAAAGTGCAAGCTACTGTCCTCGCCTCCTAACTCTGGCTTGAGTAGTATTCAGCATTTAAATATGTTATGATAAATTATTAGAATTCAGAAACATCTGCAGAACATTCAGTCTTGTATGCAATAAAAAAGAACTTATGTACAAATGAGCCGCGTCATGACAAAACCAACATAATGGGTTTGCGACCAGCATGAATCCAGACCAGCCTGGGCATCCGCGTAGTCTGATCAGGATCCATGCTGTTCGCTTACAAACCCTGTTACAAGTTAGAGAAACTGATAGTGAACAGCATGGATCCTGATCAGACTGCGCGGATGCGCAGGCTGGTCTGGATCCATGCTGGTCGCAAACCCATTATGTTGGTTTTGTCATGGCGCGGTACAAATGTTATAATTTAAATTACAGACAGTGCTGATGAGACTCATGATACATCTTCCATGACACCAAAACGTAAACGTATGTACTTATTTGACAAAAATATTAAGTTTCTTATGCTTCTTATTTAATGTAGACAAACATTTAGTTTTTATGCTTTTTTTGTATTTTAAAAAAATCCATTTTTTTCTCTCGGATAATTAAATGGTATTCAATCTAGAATAGAATATTCTAATGGTTTCATGGGATATTTTTACCATTATTTTATAGTAAAGCAGTCAGGCCATTTACATATTTTGATATGAAAAAAAAATCTTGTCTTTAATTTCTTAGAAACATTGTTAGTACACCCAGCTCTTTGTATTTAAAAAAGTATCATTACTTGTATGAATACATGGAATTATAGAAATACAAATGAGCCGCGCCATGACAAAACCAACGTACTGCGTTTGCGACCAGCATGGATCCAGATCAGACTGCGCGGATGCTTCGGCTGGTCTGGATCCATGCTGGTCGCAAACCCATTATGTTGGTTTTGTGGTGATGCGGCTCAAATGACCCAGCAAGACTTATTTATTTTTGTCGTATTTGTAAAAGTTTCTGACTGTCCATTTTCAGATTATTCAAGTATTATGCTATCAAAATGCTAATGGGGAGTTAATGGGGAAAGGTTATTGAAGATTCAATGTTTTGAGGCGTAAAAATAATCATATAATTTGAATTTCTTTACCTAAGGTGTAAGAGGCCTATATTCACAAAACATGACACTAGCAATGGAGTCTGAAGCAGAGATAGACATTGCAGATGAATCTGCAGTAGAGGTTGACGCCTCTTGCTTGATGAGTCGAACCTCCGTAGAAACACCTTCCAAACGCAGTAGGAAAAATACTACAACCACTGAGCTAGCGGAGGAAGATGTTTTTCTTGTTCCTAATGGTATGTTGTTATATGTCGTGAAAAATGTTTCCACTTTTTCCACTCTTAACATGCTTTATACTTTCTTAAAGGCTGATTATGCCAAAGAAATGCTAAAAAAAATTATTTCTCAAAAACTTTATATTCTTGTATAAATTTCGAAAATAATTATCCTTAAGCAATATACTTAAACTACCTTTTCCTTATTTATTCTGTAGGCAAATGGTATATTTAGTGAATTAGTATTTTGTAAGGAAGACAATTACTACTTTGTTTACATTTAACACCTTTATGACACATCACTGCATGTTTCAGTCGTTGAATATGTATGTAACATGCTCTTTATCTATTATATAAACATGATTAAACATTTCTAAAGATTAAAAAAATATGGATTTCTTAGGCATAATGGGCCTTTTATTTCTAATAGAATTATAAATGGGAGAAACACATGTCAACACCAAATCAGTTTTAACATATATTATTTACTCGTCTAGTTTTAGGTAACAGTACTCATCATCAGAATAGCAAATTTTAACCTAAGACTTAATATTGTACTAGGGATGGCAACGAATACCAAAATCAATACTCGAGTACTCGGTCATTTTTCCGATCGAGTACTCGGTTACTCGGACGATTTCCAATGATCTTCAAAGTTTATCACACAATATCAACACCGTCCGCATGCTACTTTCGTTTTCTATTTACATTCATAGAATTTGTAAATATAGATAGGACTGCAAAGGAGACAAATTAATTAAAATTAAATCAACGACATTATATTTTAAAACATATTTATTTATGCAATATCAAGTTTAAAACATGTTTAACAGTTGAAACATCTTTTTCTTCTTGTAATAAAATAGACTAATCGGCGGCAACAAAAGTTAAACCGGGTCTTAATACTACCTTAATTATTATATCATAATAGCAATACGGCCCTTTGTTGTTTTCAAAAATATTACCTTAAAACAAGATTCGGGTACAAACTGCACTTTGTTACACAATTAAAGGTTACTGAATATCATAAGAGGCTGGATGACGTAAGCGACACATGTGTGCGTGTCAAACTGTTGATCGCCTCATAAAATTTATGGTATCATTTTCGCACCTCTGCAAGGAAGTTGTGATTGCATTTAACAGGTATTTATGAAGGTTTATGCACATCTCCGAATTCTGAACTAATTGGATACATTTCTGAACTAATTGGATACACCAAACTGTCTAAAAAGCATATAAAATAGAAATTATACATTTTTTCCGAGTAATCGAATATCAATTTTGTTAACCGATATTCGGACGTTCGATCGAGTACTCGGTTAACCGGTTACTCGTTGCCATCCCTATATTGTACACATTATATCAAGATACCAATGGCTCTTGAATAGTATTTGGCGCTAAACAGTCAGTGAATGAATTTTAATACTTATTACAGAGGTTATTGTGTTTTGTGTGTGTTTTTTAGAACCACAAAAACCGGCTGAAGATGTTAACAAAGAGTCGGCCGAGGATGATGAGAAACAAGTAAGTGAAACAGGAGAAACAGCTAAATCAAAATCTTCACAATCAAAGTCACCCGAGCGTGGAAGACCTGCTGAGAAAAAAGCTGCATCACCAAAGAAAACCAGTCCACGCAAATCTCCAGCCAAATCCCAGGAGAAGAGAAAAGCTTCAAGATCTCCAGCTGGCGTTTCCCCAGAGAAAAGACTGACATCTGAATCTCCAGCTAGAAGATCGCAGGAAAAAAGAAAGGCCTCGAAATCTCCAGCTAGAGACAAGAAGAGAGTATCAAAATCTCCAGCCAGATCAGCATCTAGTAGTAGAAGAAAAGGCTCAAAGTCTCCCGAGAAGAGGATGTCTTCAAATTCTCCAATAAAAGAGGCTGGAGAACGAAGGGCGTCCAAGTCCCCTGTAAAATCCCCTGTGAGAGGCAATGCAGAAAAAAGAAAGTCATCGTGTTCTCCTAACAAAACTTCAGGTAAGAAGGACGACAAGGGTTCCCCAGCTCCTGCTAAAAAGTCAAAGGAATCGGAGAAGGCTGCAGCACCAAAGTCTAAGATGCCACTTGCGAAAAAGAATGCTGAAGAGTCCAAGAAAAGTCAGTCACCTGAAAAGAAGAAGGGTGCTGCAAACATTCAGGACAAAAATAAAGGGAAAGCTATGGAGAAGAATGTAAGAAAAGCCTTACCTAAATCAGTTGCTTCAGAGAAAACAAGATTGACTGCGTCAGCTTCCTCAGAATCAAGGTCACCAAGACTAGCTAGAGGTGTGAAGCCTAATGACACTGCTAAAGTCTCTGCCCCTACCAACTCCCCTAGGCCTCACCGTAAAGCAGGAAATAGTCTTGCGGCTGATACACCAGAGCAGGTGACAAGGAGAGTTTCAACACGATCATTGGCAAACACACCCGATACAAGTTCCCAGAGAGGAAAAGGAACACCCAAAGGAAGATCTGTTCTGGAAACACCAGAAAATGTTATAAAACAGAAGTCAGAACAGAAGAAAGCTCCAAATGTTAGAGCTGGTGCGGCTATACCGGTTGTTGCGTTAAACAAGGTTAAAACACCCCAAATTCGGGTTACACGAGGAACACCTAGGGCTTCAGCTAGTTCAGCCTCTGAATCGTCTCCTGAAAAAGTAGTGAAAAGTACACCGAGGACTACCAGAGCCAAGGTTCTCAGTACTGATGATTCTTCCACAAGCTCTCCAGACTCTGTAAAGCAAAGTAAACCTGCTAAAGGTAGGATAGCTAATATTTTATTGACCAATGACTTACCGAAATCTTTACACATCAGTTTACGCCAAATTGAAATGTTCAATTAATCAATAAAAAACGGTAATCACACTAAAGATTAATTTTTCCAGCTTTAAATAGCTCCTTTCAGAATGGAGTCCAACTCAAGAATGAACAATTTTGTCACTATTGTTTTTTTACCCATTTGTGAAATTGCAAATTTCTAGTATTTAGGAATAGGTCCATAAAGGAAGTATATATTATATTTATAAATCACTCGATTAAAGCAGAGATTTGTGATAAGAAATAGCAAGTTATGTCTTAATCGGGGGGAAAAAAAATGCTATGTTTAGGATATAAAACCTGGTTTTCCTGTATTTCATATTGCTATATGTAAGTGAATTGGCATGATCATACTAGTTATGATTGCATGATAACAATGTAATTGTAGGTAAGCCAGCAAGTGAGAAGAAGACAATTGTCGACACAACAACTGATGATGATGAAGAGGAAGTTTCTTTCAGACGTAGAGCAAAACCATCGAGACGTAGTGCCACAGGTAACCATGTCTACTGACATCTTACAGTCTAGTAAACTTCAGGGCTGCATTTCATAGAAAGTCATAAGTGTATCCCAAGTCCTAAGACTTAGGACAAACAATAGGACTAACTTAAGACCATTTCAATGAATATTCATCTTTAGTACAAGTTTTAGACTTTTATTTCATTCATTTTCAAAGAAAAGTTACAAAATACAATCTGCAATATTTAAGTGCATCGTTTTACAGAAATTTAAGTCAACCTTAGAGTCATAAGTAATGACTTTTTTTTTAAATGAAAATTTTCTCAGTATATTTTAGACCAAGGACTTTCTATGAAATGAAACCCTGTAATATTTTATCTCCTGCAAAAGTTACATTACCATTCTGTGGTATTGATTTATTTTTTTTTTATTGTATAGGTTTGCTTTTCAATTCTAAGTAGTAACAACAGTTAACTTATTCGGGTTTTTTTAACACGATTTTATGTATTATTTAATGGCATTGTACAATAATAAATGAAGGTATGGATGATAAAACAGCAATAATAACAAAATACAGTGACTAATGCTTGGCTTCTGTGTGGAAGTCTGGAAGTCATTTCTTCCTTAATTTTCAAAATTGTCAAAATTTCCTTCTTGACCTGTTTAATATGACTTCCAATGTAAGAAATTTTACAGTCTCTAACTTGAAAATTTTAGAACTGTAATTAAAGCCCAGAAATGTTAAATAACCAGGCGTCACTGCCCAAATAGCACATCAGAATATTACAGAATGTTCTTATGGTGAATATGTCGTACTAAAAATACAATATACGGTAGTAGTTAAAGAAATGTGTTTTTAAATGGTTTTAGTCCTCTCATGTTTTCTGGTTATAGAAATTAATTTATTTCAAGAAGTTTACAGCTTCTTGTGGAGTAACAGGTAAAGTATTATTATGTTACATGTTTTGACAGACGTACGATAAGTTACTAACTGCCTAGATGTGTCTAAAAAATGTTATGAAGAAATTCCTTTGCCAGATACATTTTGTAATTGATGTAAAAAGAAATGAAAAAAATCAGTTAATATTGATCAGTATAAAATTGATCAGGAAAAAAAAAATGTTATTATTCCAGCCTCTGCCTCTACAAGTATGGTAACAACACCACAAGTGGGTGGTCGTACTACAAGGTCTTCTCTGTCACAAAGCTCAATAGAGAGCCCGACCGTAAGGTCGCCTAGGAATCCAAGACCTGGTGTTCCTGTTACCAAGCAACCAGTAAAGAAAGTTCCGACAACAACTAGCGAAAAGCCCCAACAGACAACTGCATCTCGCAGAGTTGCTAGAGGAGGTAATATTTTATCTATGGTTAGATCAGACATTCCGAAAAGCATTTTGACATTACTGGACATTCGGTCCAGCAATCTTTGAAGAATCACTGGACCGAATCAGTTTTTCCTGGACTGAATGGAAATCAGAATAAAGACACTTATAATATTTTACCTTCAAAATAGCGTAAAACACTCATTTCTTGTAGTCGCGAAAACAAATAATATCCCAACTGGAAGTATGTATTTGTTCATGTGCCGTACCGTAATAGGGATATGACAGGTAAACTTTTTAATGATTTTATCCTGATTACTTCGTAATGGCAAATTTGTTCATGAAAATTATTTATTTGGAATACGTATTACTGATAATTTCTGTGTTTATTTTAATTCTAAATAATATCTTGAAGATTGTTTATGTAAAAGTTGAATGTAGTATCTTAAGATTGTTACCTGACAGACCGCCTCGGACAGAATTTTTCCTGGTCCAAACGTAAGTTTACTGGTCAGCTCCGTCGGACCGGCACTTTTCGGAATGTCTGTTAGATTATTGTCATTGAAGTAGTGTATGTGTTTCAGCTTTCTGATTATTTTATGAGAAATTTTTGCTATGCAAATCTTCTTAATCTGTGTTAAAAATTGTTTATATAAATAATTTAAGAAATTCAGCAGGTTAATTGTTTTACTATTTCCTGACATAATGTTATTTTTACTTAGAAAATAAAACAGTGGAAAATGTAAACAATGAAATGTATAATTGATCTGCTTACAATTTATGTTTTTAGGTGAGAGCTCTCAAAGCAGTACCATATCATTAATATCCTCTCAAAGAACAACAACCTCTTCTCAGAGGTCAACAATTTCCTCCCAGAGGTCAACAATTTCCTCACAGAGGTCAACAACATCTACAGGTTGGTATTTCATCCTAAGTCTACAGGCATATGTATACTGTTCTGTTCTGTACTCCTTCAGTTTCATATGTTGAAAGTCTGCCTAAAAATGGTGAAGTCCATTTAAGATATTGAGCAGGGGTGTGGAATTCCCATGCCCGACTTGTCCGACTCGGGACTTTATGCCTGCGGACAAGTAGATTTTTCCATAGAACTTGTCCGTGGACAAGTGAAAATCTGAGCCAGTAGGAAAAACAAAATACTGTATTTTTGTTGCTTATCAATGGGGAACATTTATTGTAGTAAGTTAAGTTATGATTCTTGGTTAACTATGAGGAAATACACTTTTTCATATCAATCATTTCAACCCATGGAAGAACTCTTGTAGGAAAGCAAGCTCCTTGATACATGCAGGCCATATGGAGGCAACCACTCTTTAAAGTAAATTTTAAAATGCACATTTGGTAACAATTGTAAAGTTGTTTTGGTTCAAATTTTTTCAAAAGGATAATTGTTTGGGCATCATTCATTGCTTAATAAGAGTTGTAGATTGTTTCCTCAAACTACAGAAATGATGTCTGGTCTTTACTCAGCAAATCTGTTCACACCTTACAATATGAAAGGACACTGTAACCTCTATTTAACTTTTGTTTAAACACATGGCCAATGTTTTGTAGTTTTATATGGGCAAGTACAGTTAAGCTGCGGACAAGTAAAAATATCTGGCCAACTTGTCCGTGGGCAAGTGGCAAAATTTCATATTTCCACACCCCTGTTGAGCATGTGGTAAAGGTTAACCTTTGTATACTTAAAGCAATAATGATTTATCTATGCCACCTGTATAATGCCAGACCAGACTGTTGACTTCAAACCACTTGCCCCTCACTGCTGTGGGTTCAAATCCCTACTATCCATCTAGCTAACAGAATGTTGGTGGTTCTATTCAGGTGTCCGTTTGTGCACAGAAGGGCACCTGGGGTCTTTCTTCACCGTTTGAGCAAGAACATCACAATATGACCTTTACTGTGTCGGTGTAACGTAAAACCCAATCAAAACAAAACAAAAAAATCATGGGAGATCTGGAAAAAGTAGGTTTTTGAAAAAAAAATGTTTGTGACAATGCCCTGAATGCTGTGCATGTCTGTTCTCTTATTTAAATTCCATTCAGTAACCATTGCAGAGGAGAAATATGCATATTTTCTATACCCCTTTATATGACATTTAAAATCAAATATTAATGCATATCTACATGACCAGTGGGAGTTTATATTATCATTGCCTGTAAAAAGTTAATATGATTAATCATTTTAATTATTGTAAATATTTATAGTTTCAGGTAAAAGTGACAGTTCTAAGACGTCGAAGTTGCCGAGCCGTTCCAGTGCCACAAATGCCAGTAGGAGGTCAAAGTCTGCAGATAGGTAATGCAATCTTGACCTAGCTAATTAACTAGTATATATTATACATCTTTATCCTAGTTACTACTTTAACTTCAACTATTGGTTTAAGGTAGTAAGATCTACTTTTGTCTGCTGCAAATGTATAAAAGTTGGAAAGTTGCTGTATAAAGTCATTTAGGTTGTCTGGGCAATTGATATCTCGTAAATCACTGAAGGAATAAACCCAATGCATGTATTTTAGGTCATAATTGAACACTTGGCTCAAGCATGAATATTTTAGTCACTCAATCTACTTTATTAAAGTTAAAGATCCTGTAACACATTTTTGTTTGTTTTATATCATAAATATAATGCTCAAATGAAGATTTATCAATATTGTAAGTTCCAAAAAGCATTTTTAGCTCGACTATTCGAAGAATATGAGAGCTATTGTAGTCGCGTCAGCGTCCGCGTCGGCGTCTGCGTTGGTTAAAGTTGTTTGTAAAGTCAAATATCTCAATTATTACTTGAGATATTCAATTGAAACTTACAATACTTATTTATAGTATCAAGGTACATCAGATTGACAACTTGGATAACTCTGCCTACAATATTGACAGAATTATGCCCCTTTTTAACTTAGAAATTTTGGTTAAAGTTTTTGGTAAAGTCAAATATCTCAATTATTGCTTGAGATATTCAATTGAAACTAATAATACTTATTTATAGTAACAAGGTACATTAGATTAACAAGTTGGATAACTCTGCCTACAATACTGACAGAATTATGCCCCTTTGGAACTTAGAAATTTTGGTTAAAGTTTTTTTGTAAAGTCAAATATCTCAATTATTGCTTGAGATATTCAATTGAAATTTAAAATACTTTTTTATAGTAACAATGTTCATCAGTTTGCAAAATTGCATAACTCTGCCTGCAATATTTGCAGAATTATTTGCCCCTTTGAAACTTAGAAATTTTGGTTAAAGGTTAAAGGTCTTCAAAGATATTTACTTGAAACTTTACACATGCACTAAGGGTCATAATTGGAGGGTCATAATCGTATGTCACTGACCAAGTTCCATAACTCTATCTTGCATTAAGGCTGATTCATAATCCCCTTTTCTACATCTGACAAGGGTCATAATTGTAGGTCACTGACAAAGATCCATAATTCTATCTTGCATTTAGGCTGATTTTTCTCCCCTTTTTCAACTTAGAAATTCATGGTAAAGTTTGGCTTGTAAGCTGTTATCTCAATAACTACCGAAGGGTTTGTGCCTTTTTTGGGACAATTTTATGCATTCATAATAATAAAGCAGTGATTTACTTGACAAAACATCTTAATAACAAGCCTTTGTACTTTTTCTGTCAAATTTATGTATTCATAGGTAATTAGTATTATTATACTCAATAAAACACCCTTGTGACATTACCTTCCGAAAAGTCAAGCCAATACTACATGTAAAATTAGACTCTCTAAGGCCTATAACATAAATTTATAAAAAAAAATTAGCCCTTTTGTGAACTTAAAAAATTTAACATTATCAAGGCTCTTTTACTATCAAGCACTTAGAATAGTCGAGCGTGCTGTCCTACCAACAGCTCTTGTTTGTATTTACATTTCATGTTCATAAAGGGAGGTAATTAGAAATTTTATTTTCTATAAAGTCTAAATCAAATTTTTCAATAAGAAATGAATGCATATATTTTAATGATTACATATAATGTGGACAAATATTTGCAGTACATATTTTTCTTATTCTTCGGTGTTTGAAAATTGTTTTAGAAGCATAATTATATACACATATAAAATTTCACCTAAGTGTGGTAACAACCTGAATTACAACATACAGGATCTTTAAGATTTTAGTTTGCAAGTCCTGTCTGATACACATGTCTTACTGAAATAACTATAGGTTATTGACTGAGACCCATTACTTTTGATGAGAATTTTAATGAAGTATATTCTAAGTGAAGTTGAAAAATCAAGCATGAATCTTGTTTCTTATAGCACATGTGAGAGCCATTTTATTATTACATTATCACTGTAGTGCTATTACCTATTAAATAAAGTGATTATAAATACACCATATTCCCTTAAACCTTATATCGTCTCCTTTACTAAGAGAAAACAACTAAACACAATTATCATTTCATAAATTCATATTTAATTGCGGAAAGCACTTGGGTCGCTATACTGACTAAACCACACATTTGTACATAATATCAAACACATATATATTCATTGTCACTATAATGTTTTTATTAAATGCACTACTGTCCTTCATTTCATTTCATTATTTACGAAACACATTGTCCTTCGCGAATGAATCCATTTGCGATCTTATAACACTTATGTGGTATATTACTAGTACAATGTTCATCACACATTTATAGATAAATATTCAAATTCTTCAAGAATTGTCACACACTATAAACATAATGATTTAAATTGAGACACAAGATTTGTTTCGCCAATAAAAAGTAATCGACGTGTAGAATGGTCAGTAACCCAAAGCTGAACTGACACATAACTTAACTACCGTAAGCACGAAAACTTCGTGCTCTAATCGGGACCCCTATTGGAGACTTAAACGAAAGGGAAAATAATTTCTTTCTTATTCATCTGCTCAAACAAAATAAATTATATTTATCATTAAAATGCTTTCACTTGGTGTCTCTTCAAAATGTTTTATTAATACATGTGTAATATATTCATATTTGCAGCAGTAAAACCGAGAAAGTTACTGCCCCTGTAACCAAGGTAACAAGATCAGCTGTTGCTACTAGACCTACAAGAGAAACCAAAACGGAACCTGGTAAATTAAAAAGGTAAGTTAAATAGGAGTGATACATTAAGTTTCCCACTGCAAAGTCTGAAAAATTACTTTATATAACTTAACTGTAACCAAGCTAATTTTAAAATTTGGGTTCTCAATAAATTTTTCATCAGCAGCCAAAAAATGAAATTCCAGCAGGCCTTTTGTTTTAATTCAAACAACAATTATCTGTATAAAAGTAAGAAATCTGTGTATCTTATAGAGTTCCAACAGGCCAAATGATGATTTCAGTCAGTTTGGCCTGGGGCCTTTGTTATTGAGAACCCTGTAAATGCTGACACAAAATTTTTTATGACTGAACTGTTTAGTGTAGAAATGATTGATCAAATTGAAACATTCTTACTATAAAAATGGTAAAATAATTCTCCAGAAGCTAATTGAGCCAGGTCATGACAAAACTAACATAATGGGTTTGCGACCAGCATGGATCCAGACCAGCCTGCGCATCCGCGCAGTCTGATCAGGATCCATGCTGTTCGCTTAGTAACCCTATTACAAGTAGAGAAACTGATAGCAAACAGCATGGATCCTGATCAGACTGCGCGGATGCGCAGGCTGGTCTGGATCCATGCTGGTCGCAAACGCACTATGTTGGTTTTGTCGTGACACGGCTCAATTATCTCAGCATGCTGATGGCTGCAGTATCTACCCATGCAACCAGTGCAGACCAAGATCAGCCAGTTCATTCATCATGATCTGCACTGTTTGCTATTCAGTCAGTACATATTTCTTTGCTAATATCTGGCTAATCATATTATTAAGTTGATACTAACTTGTAGCTTTTCTGAAAGTTCAGTTGATAAATATTCTACCATTTTGTAAAGTTTGTTAAATTAAAATTGATAGAATAAGTTCTGCTGTATTGAATTAAGTTAAATGATTTGTAACGTTTTCTTGTGTACAGTTACCACAAACAATGTGACAGGGTGTTCACTAGCAATGAAATCCTGATGGTCATTTTGACTAAGTTTTTCTGATTACAAGGTCAAATCCCCATGATTTTAACAAAATTTGACCCTTCAGTTAACACTTTCCCCCATGAGCATATTGTGAAAAATGGCCATTTTCACTGAAAAGCCTCCTCTTACAAGTTCAAACTGCTATGAAACTATGAAAAATGCTTCAATACTGATCAAACTTGGCACAAATGTTGACTGGACCATTGCCTTTATAACGACATGCTCAGTCTTAAATTTCCTGTTACCATGGCAACGAGGGGACATCTCAAAATTGCCAAAAATCACTATTTTGCCTCGATTTTTTCCATCAAAATTTATTTCAAAGTGCTGCAACTTCTCAAGGGTTTGAGATAGAGTCAATGGCTTTTCAGCGTTGGTTACACGTTACCTTATAATCGACCTGGGGTCATTTTAAGCCTTTCACAAGTCAAAAATTTTCTTGGCGATGAGGGGGACTCCGCCCCCCTTCAAACCACCCAAACAGAAGGAGGCACATCCCCCTTCTGGCAAATACCCTGATGTATCTTTTGGATGGGAGGCCGTGCCGAAAAAGTGCTCACTTTTTTAGCAACATTTCTCAAACGAAAACATGTGTTTGCGGCCCGAATAGGACATTTTTTCACTATTTCAAGCCTTAAAAAGGGGGGGGGGTCGAAAGTGCGTTGTTTCGTGTATATATGTGGTAAAGGGTAAACAAAAAATGATGAAAAACTTTGGAATCACCCAAAATCTAGTTTTTCCATGTTAACATGTGGTCTTTTACCTAATTTTGGTGAAAAATTGTTGTTTTGTAACATTTATAATTTTTTAGTTAACCCTTTCCCCCATGAGCATATTGTGAAAAATGGCCATTTTTACTGAAAAGCCTCCTCTTACAAGTTCAAACTGCTATGAAACTATGAAAATGCTTCAATACTAATCAAACTTGGCACAAATGTTTACTGGACCATTGCCTTTGTAACAACATGCTCAGTCTTAAATTTCCTGTTACCATGGCAACGAGGGGACATCTCAAAATTGCCAAAAATAACTATTTTGCCTTGATTTTTTCCATCAAAATTTATTTCAAAGTGCTGCAACTTCTCAAGGGTTTGAGAAAGAGTCAATGGCTTTTCAGCGTTGGTTACACGTTACCTTATGATCAACCTGGGGTCATTTTAAGCCTTTCACAAGTCAAAAATTTTCTTGGCGATGAGGGGGACTCCGCCCCCCTTCAAACCGCCCAAACAAAAGGGGGCACATCCCCATTCTGGCAAATACCCTGATGTATCTTTTGGGTGGGACGCTTACTTTTTTTTAGCAACATTTCTCAAACGAAAACATGTGTCTTAAAAAGGGGGGGGGGTGTGGTCGAAAGTGCGTTGTTTCGTGTATATATGTGGTAAAGGGTTAAATCCTGAGGGTCAAATCAGGCCTTTTGTAAATTTGAAGGGTCACAGTGTCATTTCAAGGATTAAACGGGCACCCTGATGTAATGATTTAACTAATGTTGAATTGTTGTTGTTTTCAGACCATTGAGGAGCAAGCCATCGGATAGAAAATAATGGACCACATTTTGGAAAATACAATCACTCGAGGATTATTTATTTTACTTTCTTGTGCGAGATGTGTGCGATAAAAAGTGAAATTGAAGTTACAGTTACCGATGATAAACAATTTCATTTCATCACAAAACATCCTAGCAAAGAAGCCAAAATATTTTTTATTTGACACATAAAAACAATCACTAAATATTCTTCTAATTAAATTTTTGTATAGTACGTAATAATATATATGCTGTCTGCAATAATCTTGAAAAATAATGAAGTTGAATCTCCTGTGTTAATTGTAGAGCCCATTGACGAGTGATTATATAATATAATGTAAAAGACATTTCTATTTAACATACACTTTAATTGATGAGGGAAAGAATAATATATATGACTGAAGCAATATTCTTAACTTGTTTAATTCTGTAATGTATTTGTATGTATGTGTACTTCCTTTTACTATAGTTCAAAATATGTAGTTGTTACACAGTTACACTATTTTGTCCTGTCTTTCTGTCTGATTTTGTACCCTGATTCTTTGTTATAAGCTAGCTGCCACACGAACAGTATATCTATGCCAGCAGTATAGAGCCAGGCCAGTGTGTATATCATTGTAGTGTGCCAAGGCTTTTATACTGGGCACTACTCAATTTTAGTACTTTGATAACTGAAATCCTGTAAATTACTAAAAATATGATCCTTTTACAAATTAAGCTTTGTAATGGTTAAACTATATTGTATATGATCAGTAATGAGTATAAAATGTATAATTTTGCAACTTTGGTTTACATTCTAGTATCTTCTCATTGATTATATTTAAATGAATTTTTAATGTTATCAAATCTGTAAACAAATTTTTTACATTTTATTGAACTATTTTCGTGAACTTAATTGATTAAATTAATTATTGAATTAAATGAAGTTTTAATAATGTAACTTTTCATAATAAACTGTCGTGTATAAAAGATGTCATCTGGACTTTCTCTTTTATTACCCCTGCATTGTCCTCGTTGTTTTTTTAAGCATTTGAGTAATTATCTGATGAATATCACTAAATTCAAATGCACTTATCTTGATGTATTTTTGTTTATTTTCAAAGAAGATCTAACAATCATTTTCTGGTCATATATACTTGTAACTTTCAATTTAAATCAAATGAAATTGAATGGTACAAAATGTATTTTTCTTAGATTATCCGCCAGAATCTACAAATTCTAAACAGTTCCTCTAGAAGTTGGAATAAGCAGGTTATATCTGATTATTATTGCACTAAATACCATATATCCAAATATCGAATAATTCTTTCATGAAAAGATAGTTCTTTTGATATAAGTTGACGCAGAAGTTTGCAACCAGCCAGAAATGCTTGAAATTCAAGTTTACTACCAAATGCTATTTTTTGCAAGCTTTTTTTTTGGTGTATTGAAACTATACTTTGGACATGAAAATTAAAACATTTACATTGTATTGACAGATACATCTCTTGTTTGATGAATTACAAAACTTGCAGATATAAACATATGAGTAGAAAAGCCGACCAGAAAAGTCACTTGTCAAATCTCAAAACCTGACCATGACCAGTTTATATCTTCATTAACTTGTCAAAACAGAAGATCAATGTGCCATAAACTAAGTGGGGGTGTTATAAATTTTCATGACTCGGTAGCCATTTTGTCAATTTCGCAACCATTTCTCTCGCTTGAACCAAGTGTGCAATCACTTGACGCATGCCCTTTTGTACTGTCCCATCTTAAATTCATTGACAGATTTTGAAATAACTCGTAATGTGTTGCTTTAGAAGAATTTGTAATGAGTGAGATTAAGTTTGTAGCTTAAAGGTTAATGTTTCAATGAAGACTTAAAGAAGTAACAAACATTTACGGTAGTGTCTCCGTCTTTCATTGATGTTTTAAAATATCTAGGTATAGAACTTTTAACAGTACGATTTTTCCGTAGCAACGGATGTTGCATTTCGCGCATGCGCATTCGGTGTCTTTTTGCCATACGCAGACTGCGCATGCGCGAAAAATACCGCTTCCGGTCAATTTGTCGCTACACTTTACAGTAAACATGTATTAGTTGTAAGTCAAAGATCATGTTCCCTAACTGGGGCCCACCTTGCTGGTGGGGGCATTTGTCTATTGCAAAGACAGTTATGTGTACCGAGATGACCTTTACATGTTTTGTACGGCGTTATGGTATTGGTGATAAACAGCCAATGCTTGAAAGGCTGTATGTAGAAAACACGCACATCCAAAGAGACACGATAACTTGCGATATACATGCAATTTTATTAACTATTTGCACCGCTGGTGGTTATCACTACATGGCAATTTGATGTACTCGCCCGACGTCCTGATGACTTCATCACAGATTAAAATAAGGGATTCTCAAAGTACAATTGCTATCGGTGCCGTGTGACAGTTTTAAAGCGTTGCCCCTATAACTCGATATTGTTCGTTTTCTCTGGCTCTTTTGGAGTGTAGTTTTACTTTTACCACATTTAAGTATTTAACATTTGGTATAGTAAAATCAAATCAGATTAGATTTTATGAGATCTTTTATAACAATGTTAAATTGTCTTTTGACAATACGTGAAATAACACAATTATTACGTCGGCATCGTAAATTTTGCAATGCATTTATAAACATAAATATTTTCAGGACATAAAGTTTGCCTAAACATTAATTGAAATACTTCATATTCAAAATTGTTATGTTAATAAACATTCATTTTAGTATTAAACAAATCGCACATTGAGGGCTGGGATTTGACTTTTTAAAAAATTATAAGCAATTTACTAAACCGTACTGTATGACATTTAGATAAATGATCTTTGAGTTTCTACAAATTATAACGCATAGTTCTCATTGGCTCTCTTTTTTGTGATTACGAGAAGTCATCTGTATTGCAATGGGATTTATTCTTTAAATATGTTTACACCTAACAAGTATATCATACCTTAAACAACGAAGAATATTGACTGCATCTACAACGTAGATTAGTTATATATGCAAAATAAATGAATAAATAAATGTGTTGTTATAAACAGAACACATAACTTTTTTTTAATAAAACAGATGAAAATACTGTATAAAAATAACAAAAGAATAGTATGAATTTATTGACTATTGATTTTATAGCACCTGGCGTTTCTGCTTAAATCATAGAAAGTTGAGGCCTATTGCAATATCTAGAAACATAAAAAAAAACAACAACAGAAAAATATAAGAATATATCATTTTTATAACGACGGTGTCCACTTAAAAATTCTGTTTGCGTAATGTCTAGTAAAATTCTGTTGTATTTTATTTATTTTTTTTTTTGGTATCAAGTAAATTCTGTTTGCTTGATATATGGTAAAATTCTGTTTGCTTGATATCCAGCTTGATATCTAGTAAAATTCTGTTTGCACAATATCTAGTAAATTCTGTTTGCATAATACACTTCAGCCGCATTAAAACGCTCATGTTGGGGTCCAATGTCTCAACACCGCGTTCTAACGAGGCTCTCATTAGAACGCTCATTGCGAAATTACCGCATTACCCCACCCACTGCATATATATATAACGCTGATTTTTTTACTTACTGTTCAATGAATATCGACATTATCTTTTTCTAAAACCATTCAATGATGTAAACATATATTATATTCACAAATAATACTAATTATATTTAAAAGAAAGGAAAAACTTTCGAAAGAAAATTATAAATCATGAATGTAGGTCAGGGTATCGCATTGTAACATGGCCAGCGATTGGCTGAAAAAAAGTGCAGGGAAAACCGTATGAGTCAATTTATACATGAGGTGATTGGATGGGAGTGGGGTATTTTTAAGTAAAAAAACTAATTTAAAAAGTAACACTACACTGTTTTCTGAAGAAAATGAAATATTTCATGAGTCTCTGTGATAATTTTGACTTGGATATTTGCATTCATAAAAAGTGTATGTCAGTCCTGTGATCAGCAGAGAATTTCAATGAAATGGGGGGTAATCCTCTCTGAAGTCATTTTGCAAAAAATTTGGTTGGCTACCCCTATATAACAAGAACATTTTCATGTGTCAGGCATTTCATTCTGCTAGAAAAATTAGCTCTTTAGCATGAAAACTCAATTTTAAGGTAGGATTAGGGACCATTTCTTATAATGTAAGTCTATGGAAATATCAATGTGAGTGTCTGACCTGTAGTGTAAAACAGGTAGCCATTACTGTAATGACGTTTGATTAACTAGGGGACGCAACTAAAGCTGGACTATAAATAACACTGTAATTTACAGTCCAGCTTTAGTTGTGTCCCCTAGTAAATCAAACGCCAATTACTTCCTGTCATGGCCTCTCTATTTACAGTGCAGGATTTTAAATTGATTTTGGGCTTGTGGGTTATTTAATTCAGCGAGGTTATCTAGTAAATTTTGTTTGCTTGATATTTAGTAAAATTCTGTTTGCTTGATATCTAGTAAAATTCTGTTTGCATGATAGCTAGTAAATTCTGTTTGCTTGATATCTAGTAAAATTCTGTTTGCATAATGTCTACAGTAAAATTCTGTTTGCTTGGTATTTAGTAAAATTCTGTTTGCTTGATATCTAGTAAAATTCTGTTTGCATAATAGCTAGTAAATTCTGTTTGCTTGATATCTAGTAAAATTCTGTTTGCATAATAGCTAGTAAATTCTGTTTGCTTGATATCTAGTAAAATTCTGTTTGCATAATGTCTACAGTAAAATTCTGTTTGCTTGATATCTAGTAAAATTCTGTTTGCATAATTTCTACAGTAAAATTCTGTTTGCTTGATATCTAGTAAAATTCTGTTTGCATAATGTCTACAGTAAAATTCTGTTTGCCTGATATCTAGTAAAACTCTGTTTGTTTGATATCTTATATAAAATTATATAAACGGAATACATGTTTAACGCGCCTGCTAGTCATAATCAGAATTGATTGTTAAGCAATGTCTTGTAGATGTTTAAAATGTGCTTTTTAATTAAGACTTAACACTTAACTGAAATAATTTTCTACATTTTGTGTAATTGAATAGATCTGCTATTAGATGGATTTACAGCTGATCTGTAAAAAAAACGGAAAGAGGACAGCCTATCGTGAGCATTGAATGTATAAAAGTGAAAAGGCGCAACATCTCTCGCATCCCAGTACCGGATAAAGCGGTAATTAGTCCTCATTTGTAACATCATTTAAATGCCTATAAAACAAAAACAAACAAACCAAAAACTACATCATATTATTTTATGGTATTCAGATTCTTTTTATAATTATGACAAATCAGGATTTTGATTGGCTAATAAAAATGGAGTACATCCTCTTCTTCCGCTGAATTACAGGATATGCAAACAATTATACCTTGAGTACAAATAACGTTTATGTTTTTACTAATATTTTGTCAACTTGTCAACTTTGTTATAAACTTTAGAAACGCAAAAAATATGTTGATTCCATAATTTCATTGGTCAGTTCTCGTAAGAAGGATTGAAAGTCTCTGTTATGTTATATTGTACATATGCATATTGTTTGTAAATAATAAAATTTTCCCAGTGCTGGGGCGATGGATACGTACGTAGAACATTTTGATGTATTTTAAGAACAGACTCAAACCGAACAAATGTTCAAACTTTATTAAAAAAATATCTTTAAATACATTTCTTATACGATATTAAAATATTTAACATAAGTAACATCAGATTATATTATATGCTTTATAACAACGAAATAATAAATTTAATTAAAGATACACTATGCTCAAATTTGAGATCAGAAACTATTGATAATAATTATTGCTGAACAGTCCTTTGTAAATATAAAGCAAAAATGTTTGGACTTAACAGAAAGTAAAGTGGTGTGGTCATAATGTGAAAATATAGTGTCATTAAGAAAACACTGGCAGTAAATAAATTTCTGCGGTTAAAATAATTATTCTACTCAAAGATGAGCATAGTACATCTTAAATTCGCTTAACTG